TTGCCATCTGTGTCAGAGGGAGGCAGCCATTTATCCAGTTTTCCTCCTGCTTCAGGGTATTTCCACACATCACAGGGTTTGTCATCGTGAAAGGGACACTACATTGAAAGACTATAAATATGAATATTGTCATAGGTTTAATGTGAAAAACACCAGAAAGTTGCCTCTTTGTGGAAGGATCTGGGTTTTTGTGTGAGTATTAGTTAATATAGTCCCTATATTGTCTTGTTGAGTCCTGATCAGCCTCACCTGGCTCTTGTTCCTTTGATTATTTTTGCTGTGTATTTATACTCACCGGCTGGATTCTTGTCATTGTTAGAAAATACCTGAGTCTGTGGCCAGTTCTCATGCTTTAGCTGTTGTTCATGGTGTTTTGTTTGCTGAAGAACTTTATTAAACACATTACTTCACATTGTCCTGGGTCTGATCGCCATCTCTACTCTCATCTACAAACCGGTTTATGACATTAAGGTTGATCTGGACAATCATTGGCTGGCCAATCAAAATCAACAGCAGCCAACTAAAGTCTCAATAATCTGGGACTTTCCAGAGTAGCACGATAGGACAGAAATGAAGTGAGTGCAGCAGGACAGTGAGGAAGTAAAGCAGACTTTTACTCGAGCTTAAACCTGCTTGAGATAGCTTTGTGTGTACGTGCAGCTGCATTAAATAACATTAAAGTGTTTTTATCATTTGAAGTTTAAAATGACTAATGATCAAGTTCTATTGTATTTAGCTGATTTATTTCAAGGGAGGGTTGGGTAAGGTACCTATTCTATCTGCTTGCGGTTGTAGTTTTTATTACGTTTCTTATGTAGTTATTTTTGTTCGATTCATTTTCTAGTCTGCAGTGTGCTCTCCCTCACCCCCATGTCACTTCTTTTTTTCTTTCTCTCTCCTCAACCCGTTGGCTCATCAGTCCTGATCTGTGTTCAGCATTAACTGGACAGATAGATAGATGTCTGTGTTTAGTAGTTTTAGTTTAGTTGTATATTTCCAGGATAGTGAGTTTGTTGATTAGAAGGTTTTAATGTTGTAAAGTTTATTAACGTTTGTTAAAACTTGTATATTTGAGAAAAGTTGTGTACATTCCATACATGTGTAGCATCTTGCCGTACAGATAATACCAGTGGCAGACTGAAGCTTTCATCTATTATTTGTAAACCTAGACATTCTCAGACACATATTTATTAAAAATAGGCTATTTTCTCAAAAAGAGTGGTGTCACTATTTGTTAATTTTGATCTTGTTTTACTGAAATTAGTTTTATCAATAATCATCTTAAGCAATAATTATAATTATTTATAGGCAAAACGTCACTACATTAATAGAAGATCAAACATTATTATCAGTGGATAAAGATCTCCACTATAGTAATTCTTTGTGATATCAAATTAGCAGTTAATTCAACAAAAGTTGACTGTCTTCATAAAGTGTCAACATGAAATTTGTTTTTGCACTCTACAAATTGTAGGGAGAGTCTATGAAACTAGAAAATCAGAAACATTAACACAGTAAGCAGTGGTGAAGGAGGTGTTAGGTAAATAATTTCTTCCCAACATAATTTCAGGAACATTTTTAAACATTTCAGTAATTTTTCTCAATGGTTTGATGAGAAACTGTAGATCTTGTCTCTTATTGCTCCTTTTTAGGAATGTAGACTGAGATTTCCCATCTTGCACCTTTGGATTTTAACCTGTTTAAAATCAGAAATATTTGTATTTTTCATTAGAGACACCTGTGTAATTTCTGACTTAAGGATCAAATTGATCCTACAAGAAGTGCTTTACACTACTACTGGATAAAGTAATTATTCAAAATACACACATATGCGTATAGAACAATGTTAGCTCGAAAAATCTGCTATTCACTGCTTTGTTGTTAATAAGAGCTGTTAGTTTCCAGTATATTTATCACAGTTCTAATGCTCAAGCCACATGAATACATAAAACAACACTGCACACATTCTTTCTCTGTTGGGTTTGAGATGGTAATATCCCAATATGCCTGGAACATTAAAGCCACCTGTATAAAATTTGTGTTTCAATGTGTTGATAAGTAGGTCTAATTAAATGTGTGTCTGTGTGTACGTAAGACCTTATGTGAATACACTTTTTAATTAAGTCAGTTGACACCCATGGAGTAGTGTTACAGTGAAGGTTAATGAGACCTTCTGGACAGTGACTAAACACAATGAGTTTTTATTTATTCAGTGCTTCAGGATATACGTTTGTCAATTTGCTGTCCGTGTGTGTGTGTGTGTAATGTCATCGTGTTTTACACCTTATCAGACTATCTTTTTATTAGACCCTGACTGCAGTGTGTAATTAACTTCCTGCCGAGAACATGTTTGTTCTATGATTGATGTCATTAAGAAAGGTATCAGCTAAACACAAATTGGTTTAACTTTTTCATATAAAGCAAGAGATTCTAAAATTAAAAAACTAATGTGAGGTAGTTCAACGATAAGGCAGCTTTCATCCAACCGTCATCAATACTCACTTGCTTTACAGGGATGTGGAGTGAGGGGTATTAGTTACTACATCCATTAGAACCAATAAAACAAACAAATGTGAAAGGTTTGCTAAATGGAAAAGTACTAACTATGAACTTTTTTGTGTTATTTTTCTTCTATTTCTTATTTTAAAAGTGAAATGTATGGGTATGAGCACATTATTAATTTATTTATTTACAGAGCAGATTTTTAGGGGAGCTCAACTCTCTCTGGCATCGGTGTTCCTGATCCTGGTCTTGCCTGATGACATGCCTTGGTGAGGGGTGTATGGCCACCCTTGGGTGATGCCCTGTGTCTGTCAGCCTGGGCCCACTGCAGTCTTGTGGAGCCATGTTCACCAGACAACTGTCCACCTCCAGGTGACAAACTCGCACACATAACTGAACACAAACTCCTCTTATCTCTAGACAGAGGCTCATCTACACAAACACACACATAATCCAATTGGTTAAGGTAATAAACACACAGAGGGCTACCAAAGCAATATGGCCTTTCTACTTTGATGATGACTCAATTAGGATTCAACTGCCCAATCAACTTTCTCTGATATAATGAAACAGTACAAGTGAAAAAAAAAAAATCCTGATCTGGTTAAGATTCATCCATTCTGTCAGCACCTCAAATTGCTCTAAAAACCATAGAAGACAAGTTTTACAATTATTAGGTATTATGCAGTCTTGGCTGCAAGATTATGCAGGCATATGCCATAAATAGCATCTATAAATCACCATAAAGTGTGGAAGATCTTTTAAAAAGGCTTAAAGCTGTCCTTTGCTTGCAGCGCCAATCCAGTCTGATGTAAGGAAAAAGATACAACTTTCCTGAATGTGTTGGACTGAATACCTCAATCCTGAAGAGAATGTCGCAGGGTGAGGGAAAGTGGTCAGTATTTGGGTGGCAAAGACAGCTTTGAATGTCGACAGACTCTCTGCCTCATGGATTATAACAGGAAGTTGTCACAGGAGAAGAGCCTGCTTACAATTAAAATCTGCAGAAACCACTAGAAACCTTGCACAAACCCCTGTGAGGCTGCATTCACACCAGTCCTATTTAGTTTGCTTTAATTGAACCCTGGTTCATTTGTCGAGAAGGTCCGGTTCTTTTAGAGAGGTGTGAATTAAAATCCAAACTCTAACGAAGACTAAAAAAGCAAACTTTGATTTGCCTAAAAACCTAGGTCTCTGTTCAAATGAAGTGAACTCTTGCAAGGTTGAAAAAATATGTGAATAAAACCCGACTAGAGACCACTCCAAAAGCAGGAAGTTCTTTTGTATCTACATTAGCACCAAACATGGTTTTGTGGATATGACTAAATTGTGATGGCATCCGCAGGTGCATGTCACTTGCTGTACTGTGTCCTTTCCAGTAATTTATATTGATGTTCACTCTACAACCCAACTGCCCATACAAGCCCCAAAAATGTCCCACTGAAAATCTTGACAAGCAGAGACTTGCAGAGGCAGTTTCTGAGATAGATAGATAAACTGGCAAATGTGCCAGTTAATCTGACCTTTAGCTCATCTTTTTAAGAAAAAGTAATCATTTTGGATGTGTTACACTCTTGATGACGATGCACTCAATTTTATCAATTTGAATTAAGCAAAGATAAGAAATTCTGATGTCATTAGTGGCTTTGCTGTGGCACTACCTGACCTACATGCATATAGCCCATAACAATACAGCCACTAACAATACAGCCGGTCCGATTCTATTTAGACCCAACTTTCTTAACGAGTGAATGACCAACATGCTAACATACGACTGAATGTTAGTAGTTGTGCACTGCTTTACCTGCTCTCTTGCTGTTCCGGATGAGTTTTTTTTCTTTCTGCAGTGAGCCTCAATATAGCCATACTCTGTCAAGTGCTTTATTTTTTTTTAAACGTCATATTGGACTCGCTGTGTTGATGCATTTTGACATCCTGCACCTCCGAGGTATTTTTCCATCGCAACACACAAATTTCTCCATTCGCTCTCTGAGGGTTGAAGTTCTTCACTACTTTGTTTAGGATTTGGTGCTGCACGCTTGCACAGTGTGAGGGAAAGAGGAGATAAACTGCACATGCAGATTGTGAAGTGAGATGCCGGTGATTGGTTTTGGTGATCAGCGATCACTTATCACATACTTTTTCACGGAAATCAGCAGATTATGATCGGTGGCCGATCACCTTTAATATATATATGTTTTTACAGCCATCCAAAAACCAGGAATACTGGTGTCTACCGCAAGATTGATAAGTTTACACAGACTTATGTTTATGTATAAGGATAATTATAATTCCTCATTCAAAATTGTCCTTTCTTAAAGAGCATTAAGTACCAACCGACAGATGAAGGATGGTGGGATGGACTTATAGAAAACCATGGAATGGAACCTTAGTAACAGAAATGCATCTCAGCAATAATGTGTCAAGAAAAAACAAAAATTTGTCTTTAGTGGTTAGAACTACATAAAGTCTTTAAAGAACAAACATTCAAGGAGAACTAGTGAAATAATGTTTAATTCAAACAGGATCAATACAAGCTTTTGACAAACCAGAGAATCCTTATTTAACTTTGCAAAGCTCCTGAATCTTCTGGGCCAGTTCCAAGCAGTGTAAGATTCTCACTCTCTCTCTGTCAAGTTCTCCAGTACTCACTTGGCCTGACAACTTGGCAGAGAAGTGGATCAGGTCTTGCATAAAAAGTCCAACAGTACCTCTAGGTGCTGGAGGAATCTGGGTCAAAGTGAAGCCGTCAAACACAAAGTTGATCTTCTTAGTCCTTGGGAGACCTGCTTGTCGTTCCTCAATCCATGTCAATTGTCTGAAAAAACACAAACTTTACTTTAGATTCTGTAGATAGTTTCATGTTTGTGTCTGTCTCAGAAAAATCCATACAAATTATTTCTGTAAAGGTAATTTTATTTATTAAGCACATTTTCAGTAACAAGGCAAAACAAAGTCCTTTTCAGGTGTTAAAAGGAAATAGAAACAAAAATAACAAACCAAAGGATAGAGCAAAAGAAGAAAGAATCTAATGTTGATATAAAGTATGTAAACTAGATGTTACACTGTTCAGGGTTACTAGATGAGTATCATCAGGTCTAATTCCATTTCTGGTTTGGAAGAAGAGGAGTCTAAAAAGTAGTTGTTAAGGTAGTTTTTCTGGATTCTAAGTTTATTCTAATCACTATTCTGGGATCCTAAATAGTGTAAGTAAGTATCCTCTGGACTTCTGGATTGCTAGATGAGTATAAGTATTTTCTGGACTGTCAAAGCGTGATCTAAAGTTGTAAAAGTAATGAGTACTCCACAGTTTCTAAGTAATAAAAACTAAATGTTCTTGTTCTGGAAGATTTTTTTCTGGACTCTAAGTTTGTTCTAATTCTGGGTTGCAGTAATAAGAGTATCTTTGCATTCTAATCTAAAAATTAATCTAAGAAGTATAATATTGGTCTAAATAGTGAGCACTCTATATTATTAAAAAAAAAAAAGCTACAGAGTGACTAATTCCTTTTGTGTGTTAAAAATGAGTGCTCCACAGTTTCTAAATAATAAAAGGGAATGAAGTAAAAAGATGAAAGGCTACATTAGGGCCCATAGCAATATTCAGACAAAACAAAGACATGAGTGAAAGCGGTGACTTCACAGGGCCATGAAACCATGTTGCTTAACCTCCCGGCAGAAGTCAGATATGATGTCATCAAGACATGTCCTGTTATCCATGCAACTCCACAGTTGCATGGATAACAGGATGGGGTGAGATGGGAAGGATGTTTACATATCTTCAAGGAGCTTGGAAATACACAGCCCTTCAAAGGCAACACTGGGAAAGCCAATTCAGTTTCAGAATGGCTTAGGTCGGGTAGATTATATATTTCAATCTTCCCTAAAGTCTCTCATTTCCCAATCATCCAAATTAGTTGGTTATTCCACTGAACAAACTAGCAACTTCTCCAAGATCGATTCCATTCCGTTAATGAGTTTTAGAGTCCTCAGCTGAGCTGCGAGTCTCAGTAAGACTCACATCCAACTTGCGTCTCTGTCCACACCAACAGTTTGAGTGTTTGCTAGTGCAGCCAAGTCTGTCACAAATTTGTCCATAAGCCAGGTTATCGACATCTCCAAACAGCAGAAATCCTATTGTCATGAATAAATCCTGGGTGTATCCCTTTATTTCATGTACTTCAGTTGTTTTTAATCATCCTCAAAACAAAATAAATTTGCATCATCTGTGAACATGATGAAGTAACATTTTATCAATAGTAACAGTATTTACTTTTTCTTAAATCAATAAACATTGTTGTATATTTCTTCCTTTCTATTGCTTTTGTAATTTCTTAATTGTAATGATGCAAGGGATCTTGATTTATTTGATCTAAATCCTTATTGACTCAGCAAGTTATTTTTTCCAATATAAATATCAAATTTTTGAGCAAACCATTTTTAAAGCACTTTGGAAAACTGGGGGAGCACTGAGGTCAATCAATAATTACTGAGATGGAAAATTTTAAGGTCATTGTAATTATGGGTACATTTATTTATATATCTATTTATTTATGTCAAACTGGCTTAAAAAAAACAAGAAAACAAGCAATCAATGAGACAAAAAAACATATGAATACATAACCAAGACCAAAATGATTTGTTTACCACTACTTTTCTGTTTGAAAAGGAGTAAGAAGTGAACACCTATTTAATCCCATCCCTTATCTCAATTTAGTGAAGTACATTACTGACACAATATTTATCAAAATCAATGCATATCAGTGTTGTGATTTTTGCATAACAGTGTTGTGAGCTTTCCCAAGAAACTAATGGGAAACTTTTTTGAAGCTGTCTCTGAACTCTGTGTTACAACAAAGTTGTTGAATTGTTTGACATGCACCCTCATGATGTACTTGAATGTTTAATTTCCCTTATCAAAGAAAATGCATAAACTTGCAATTGGTTTTGCAGCTAAGTAGATTGTCGAACTCTGTGAATGAAATGAACCCCTTCCTATAAAAAAGATATGCTGTGTTCTGCTCCAGGCTCTCTTGCCCTGACCATGTTCAGTGAGCAGAGAGTTCAAATGCTGTAAAGCCTTCGAGTAAATACTAATATATATTCTTTCTTTAGATCTCTGGTTTTTGAAACAGATTTTCTTCACTGTTCCTCTTTGTTAAAGACAATTTCCACATCATTGTCATTCTAATTCATTTGTTTTGAAAATATATCACTGACAAATTATAAATATAAGTAAATGGTTTAAAAATACAGTGGCCCAGTTGGTAGCATGACCGAGTCCAAGCCCGGAGTCTTTCTGCATGGTATTTGCATGTTTTCTCTGTGTGTGCGTGGGTTCTCTCTGAGTATTCTGTCCTCTTCCCACTGTCCAAAAAAATGAAAGTCAGGTAAATCGGTCCATCTAAAGTCTCCTTAGGTGTGTGGGCGTGTGTGTGCAGGTGTGTACACATGCACACACACACACACACACACGTGTGTGTGTGCATGATTTTTTTATCTCTTTGATGCCCTGTGACGGACAGGCGACCTGTCCAGGGTGACCTCACCTCTCGCCTGTTGACCTCTGGAGATAGCAACAGTTTTACTTTTCCTCACTATATATGGAATTAAATTGTTTCTCTTATATCTCCAGGAAACATTGACTGTAGAATTCTATTGCACATTCCCACTGATTTAATCCATTCAGAAAATGTTCACATCTTTAAAATATTTTAGAGTAGAGCCGAGTGATGTTACTTGTTTTATCCATCTCAGTTTCAGCAATAACACATTCAATGGAGGGTTTCCCGACCGACTTGACCTGCTGAGCCCGGTCCTTATGTAGACCTGCTGAGCCCGGTCCTTATGTAGACCTGCTGAGCCCGGTCCTTATGTAGACCTGCTGAGCCCGGTCCTTATATAGACAGGAAATGTAAATATATTAGTTGGTACTTGGTAATTAGATGTTACGGGAAGACATCGCCAGTTGTTATAAAAATTCTCACTAGTTGATTCATTTTGTTAAAAAACATATTTCCTGTTGGTTTCTGTGGAACTACTGCATGCCTCACCATTAATGCACCACTAATGCCAACACATGGCCTGCTAACTGCTTTACCAACATAGAAAATGACCTTTTCTGTTGCTGGACATTTTTTGGCCAGGCAAATTTTAGCTAGTGAGGTAAAACCTACCAGAAAGCAACTTATTTTAGCTTTGCATTTTTGAAATCATGGAGTGAACATTTATAGTGCAATTTTAATATATAGTTGATATTGCAAGGAAATGAAGTGGAACCAAGGAAGCAGTAGAACACTGGGCTTCTGCCAACCCCGTTTACTCAAAACTGTCTTCGGATGTCCAAATTAGCCAGTAAACTTTATAATTGTAATGTTAAAGGATCTGTTGTCAAAAATGCAGTAAGAAAATAGATCATATCTAACTTGCTGTCAGACGTTAGCAGCTGTGCTGTCATCTTGCTGTAGCCTTGTTCGGCGTCTTCTTCAAAAGTTGCTGCTTTTACTGAAAGCTCCCCAAACAAATCAACCAGCCAGGAAAGGCGAGCAATTCCACTGAACGCAGGAAAACCAAATCCAGGCTTCAATGCTCCACCTGAGAAAGATTTTTTTAAAAAACAAAACAAATACAGTTAGATCATTTCCAAAAGCTCCAAAAGGCTCTTTTTTCTTTTTTTTTTTTTTGCCTTTCCAATTTGAATTCTGTAGTTGTAAAGGTTTCATTTTAAACATCATCTTTAACCATCAGTACAAAGACAGTGAGCATGCAAACAAGGACAGGTCCTTTATGTGAAGTTCAAAAATATCTGTGGCACCTTTCATTTCTTCCATTCCTCAAAATACAGCAGTATTTAGTTTTCCTAGTTTATTTATTTTTTTATTTCATCTTCATCGATTCTCAAGGAAGCAAATTTTAAAAGGATATATATATTTGTCACAATGTCATAATGCCAATGTCAATACCTGAGAAGAAAAGATAAGTATACTTGTGCTTTATAATGATTCTGTCAAGTCTGAAGTGCAGATAAGACTCTTGCTTCTTACCAGCAAAATGAAGAGAACCTTCCATCAGGGTTTTCCCTTCTACTTCTTTCTTCAGCTGTTTGTAATCTTCTGTCAGCAGCTCAATGTGCTCCTCATGTAGAACCACCCCTACAGACAAACAGAAAAACTTCTCAAGCCGTTCACTTCCCCAGGCGGGAGGTGAACTAGTTCACTTCCAGTTCACTTCCAGTACAGAAGTGAACAGTAGTTCGGTCTGTTCTGTTGTGAGAATATTTTTGTCATTTACGAATATCAGAAGTTGTTATTGCAGTTTTCTTATGTAGGCCAAAACCAAATAGTGTTAATAATATTTCAAAAACAATGTTTGCAGATTACTTACTGCACTTAAGGTAGAGATGACACATTTTAAAACCTTGAACAAAGAAGTTAATTATAAATTAAATGGAGTTCACCTTTTTTCTGGGCCAAAGCCCACAGTTCAACAGCAACCTGGTAAGACAGGGCCATGGGATACTCCACACAGACATGCTTCCCAGCTTGCAGAAACATCCTGGACAGAAGAGTAAATAAACCCGAGTGTTGTCTTCAACACAAGCCAACCATATATGGCTGTATAAAAAAATATCATAAACTATCTTTTTCTGACTTGAAATTTTATGACTTTTCCTAAATTGATCCCGTCATTAGAGAAAGTGATAGTTTTTGTTTCCATGTGGGCTGAACACCACTAGGGTACAAAGGTTGTCTTATGGCTAATTCTTGACTCGTGAAAGCATTTGAACACCAGAAAAAGGCCACACAAACTCTCTCTAATACATTCACACACACCCCACCCCCCACACACACCTGAACCTCCCATTACCCTCTCACTCCCACACTCAAACACACACATATGGTAAACGGAATGAACTTGTCTAGAGCTTTTCCAGTCATTTTGATCATGAGTAATTAAAACATGTTTTTATTTAGCAGCTACAGTTTCAGACCATAACCCCATACAAATAGAATTAGAATTTTGCCGACCTGTCTCTTCTTCTCCGGTGGATATTGAGAGAATATCTACTTAAAGACCCTGAATTTGTCTTTTTTTTTAAATACCATAATTGATATGTATCTGGAAATAAATTTAAATATCTCCTGTTATAGAATTTTGTTTAATCTTTGTATTTAAGTGTCTTTATTCGAAGGCAAAAGCATTTGAAGACCCGTCTCACTGAGCGTAGTCAAAAGAAGAGCCCTGAACGACACACATTATTATATAGTCAATGCAAGGAAAAGACCCACCCAAAGTCTGCTCTTATCTGTATTGCCAGATGAACTACAATCTTAGAACGTTCGGAGTTCTAAGATTGTCACTTGTGATAATCGTAACTGATCATGTGTGTAGTGTGTTACCGCTCCGATCTAACATCGGACATATTCAACGTTAGATCGTCTTAGCCCTTTTATCGCCCGTATGGGGGTTTCCCTGACTGGGAGCGAGAACACAGCCTGTTGTATGTGACAGGTAGCCAATCAGAAAGCACAGTGACATTAGCATGGAGGGGAATCCCAAACATGTAACCCAGACTTAAGACTCACAAGCTCCACTCCTCTCCTCTCATCTCAACCAATGCCGTAACGCTCTCCGAATCTGGACACTATGGTAATGTTTACACCTTCGAAATAAGATACAGAAGTGCCACAAAAATGAACATTTTATTTTCATGAAAATTTTAACTCGAGATAACAAATCAATGAAAGCCCTGAGCTTGTTTTTCTGCAACGAAGTGGTCCCATCTGGGAGTGATGGGAAGTGTTGCTTATGTGCTTGCTCTCTCGCAGTTTGAAGGCCTCATTAGCGAGCCGATCGCCGCATATCATGCATGGTGGGCTTGGAATGTGGGAATCATCTATCGGTCCGGGATAAATTCATTCTCCTGTCTCTTCTCTGCAGCTGCTTTACATAACTAAGTTTACTAGTTCATCAAATTAAACGGTTAGTTTTAGTTAGATTCTATAAAATATTCATAAATTATTGTCTTGTGTGTTCTTCCTCTTTTCTGCCAGAATCTCTGAGCCAGGACGTGACATTGACGACGAAGAATTAGTTAAAGACAGTTTTGCACGTGTAAATACCAGATTTTAAGTTACCTGACAAAGTCTTCATGAGAGTCATTCTCAGTACAGATGAATGCAGCATGGATGTCCTCTCTGCTCACAGCCTCCTCTGCTGAGATTTGTTTCACGCCCTGGTGAGCATCGAGTTTTCTCCTGTTAGTTAAACAAACAATATGAGCCAAAACACGCATTTTATTTCCTATATGTGCAAGGGCTCAACATGCCCTAGCACATATAATATAAATGTTTCCACAAACGTTTTTCTTCCTGCAGTCGCTGTGCATGCCAATGTGAGTTCTAACAACTCGCATCACTGTCTCACCCCACTTCCCTCCATGAATTAGTCAGACTGAGTAGCCCAGCAATCATCCTCTATTTTGCAACATGAATACTGACTAGATGGTCCTGACTTGACATGCTAGAATATTTCACTCAATATTAGGTGGCATAACGACGAGACATTACCTATCAGCATCAAAATGTTATGCCTGGTTTATGTAAGCGCACATCAGATATGTCTTACCTGGATATGAACCCTTGGACAGTCAGCTTCTCTGCAGCACTTCCAGCTAGCGGGGTCAACATGTCTCTGATCCGTACCGCCCCAGCTGTACCGACACCAACCACCACCGCCCCGAGCATTCTGCCAGATGATGAACCTCAATGGGAGTTTAGGAGGCAAAACTTCTTACAGTTTAATTCTATTTCATTTAAAAACTTTGTTGTTACATTGTGTATAGCTGTTTACAGCTCATGTCACACCACTACTTCTAGACTGTTCTTGGTCCTACTTAAAAGGACATTTTGGGATTTTAACCAATGAAAAAAATTTTAACCAAGAAGCATCTGAACTGAACTTTAATTACCACATGTTTTTAATATGCAGTGATGCATTTCAGGAGTTCTTATACCTGCTTTGATAAACATCAATGGGAAGTGAGGTGGTGAAAATGATCAGCATATCTATCCCATAGAAAATATGGCCCTTGGAGGGAAGTGTCATCCACAATTATTATTGTTACATATTATTACCAGTAATAATTTATTATTAGAGGGAATGCAAAGTCAAACTTCGAGGGCTTGGTAGAGCTCTTGTGCAAAACTCTGTTCCCCTGTGAAAATCTATCCCCCTGTGTCTGGAGCACACACTGCAGCCATGGAGGTAGATCCGACCATTTTCACTGCACTTCTGATCGACTTCTCGGCAAAACAACTCATATGAGCATATCAAGCTTGTGACTTTCAGTTTATTTGGTAGCTGACAAAATTGTAATATACATAGACAAGGTCTTGTTATTGTTTTGTGTTGTTTTTTTAATCGCCAAGAGGATTAAAAAGCCTTTCTCCAATTTTTGTCACTTAAGCCTGACAATTAAAAGTTAGTTACCTGACACATTCCAACACATTGTGTGTATTTATGATTTTTCATTGCTGATATAAGAGGATGGAAACTGGTAGCAGGGCACAAAAAATTGCATGTAGGCTTTCTGGAAAGTGCTGTTCTAGTGTAAACTATGACAGTTTTCTGGATGAAAGAAATTTCTAGTTGTTAATTTTTGGTGCCTCAATCATACATTTTGAAAACATTTGCTCTTTATTTGCCAAAGTTTTGACGGGGGAATCTGTTCCCCTTCAAAGAGCGTTGAACAGGGGAACAGGTTATTTCAGGCAGCTGAAATATTTGGTTTTCCCTCTCATAACTTAGGCAAACAGAAAGCAAATGTTCCCAACATCACAGGATTTATTGTTGATAATGAGAGGAATAAACACAGTTGGACTTGCTGGGAAATGAAATAACTCTCATGTTATATTGGGGGGAACAGGTTATTTCAGGTTGCTAAAATACCTCCCTCCCCTTCATAACTTGGTCAAATAAAAAGCAAACGTTACCAAATTTATAGGATGTACACTTAAAAACCTACGTGAGCACAAATAAATAATTTGTTCTCATGTTTGGGAGGGAAACAGATTATTTCAGGATTCTAAAATAATTGATTGATCTCAAGTAACTGGCAAATAATGAGCAAATGTCACTAAAATCACAGGATTTATTGTTGATGATGAGAGGAATCAGTTAAAGACTTGTTGGTAAATAAATGTATTTCCATGTCATGGAGGGGGAACAGATTAATTCAGGCAGCTAAAAATACAGGGGAACAGAATTTCGCACAAGACCTGCACAAAAGACACAAAATACCAGCCTTTGTGGCAGCAGTCCCCGCCCGTGCATCAATAACCTACAGTAGTTCTCTTACCTGCTTATGTTTTTAGAAATCGTCAAAGAAAAACTATAAGGATTTCGCCTCTTTGTTGTCTTCAGCCACGCTAAAGTAGCTGGTGGAATAGAGGCGTGCAGAAAATACCGGTTAGTGTTAGATAATGGGGGCGTGGTTTGTTACATACCATAGCGGAACTAACTTTTTGGGTGCGCACCATCTCAGTCTGCCGCCCGCAGACTAGCGGAGTTCCGCCGGCGCTCTTCTAAATGCCGGAAGCTTGTTCAGCACGGAGCTCCACTCTTTCACTCAGATGTCGTGTCAGCAGTAAATCCTCCTGACGATCGGCGCGCATGTTTGTCAGGAGGATTTCACCAGAAACACACCAGTCTTCGCTGTTTATGGATAAATTAATTATGTATTGCTCCCTTCTGGAGAATTCAACTAACAACCCCTCTCTGTTTCATCATTTCGTTAGCTAAACGATGATGAAAAGAATGTAACGTAGCTACTTTAGTGTCAAAATTGTGATATGTGGGTTTCTTCAGATAAAACATATCAAAGGTCTGCTTTGATATTTTGGTGATCGATTTCCGTGAACATGTGACAAATCATAAATTCATTTCACTAAGTTTTTTTTTTTTTTTTGGTGAAATTTGTGTGAGAGAGAAAGAGGAAGGACATAGAAACGAGAAAATAAGACAAGAAGTCGATGAGAATATTTTCTGAGAATGAGGAGGACCAATCAGAGGAGGAGGACAGAGCTCGTGTCAGGCACATGCGCCTTGTGGTTTGGCCAAACTTGAGGAAGAAACTGTCGATAATGTTTGTGGGTTCTGTTTTGTTAGATGGAGATACTTTGTGTTCTTTGCGTTGCGTTGGTTTTTGGCTCGTATTTAAATAGCGGCATGGATCAACCAAGGAAGAGGAAGTTTTCTCCTTTGCGGGATCATTTTGATCTTATAACAGAAAATAATTATTCCGTTCTCATTTCCACTTTTCTTTGGGATTATTCAAATTCCTTTCATGTGATATTTGAGTTAGTTGATATGGATTAACTTTTATTTATATTGTAGGTGAAAATGTAGGATTTGCTCCTACATGGAAGTGCTTACTGTAACCAGAGCACTTCCACAATGCTGAGGCATCAACATGCCCGACATGGGGGCATGTTCCTGTCTTTATTGAAGTTGCCTGCAATGACTTTCTAAATCCAGAAGATGTCACTGTAAGTGACAAAACAACACAGTTTTGCCACACACCCAGTGAGGCTTCAGTGGCCCATCACTGCTGCTAGTCACTGTGAATGGCACTCTCGGAATATTGCTTATTTTGATTTGCTTTAACTATGTTTTTGAATGTGTTTTAAGGAGGCCTCACTGACGGGAGCAGTCGACGTGAATGTTTTGAGTTGCAGCCAGTTTCAGCAGGCAAGAAGTTCCTGTGCCTTTGACGCAAAAGATTGTGTGAACTGTGTCATTCTTTTTGTTTTATCATACATGGACTTGTGTTCCAGAAGATATCCTGTGTAATTCTGAATCACGTTGAAGCTGTGTAACCTATTTCTTTTTCTTAGAGCTGCAATGTGCATGTAACCAGGAAAACAAATCTCTGTCCGTTCTCCTCACGAGTAAAAAGAATCTAACCCTCTTGTCTTTCCTGTGTCTGTGTCTGATGTTCTAGGAGTTGAAACCTGACACAAGCACAACTAAATAAATTTTAATGATGTACAATATTTCTTGCCAGTCATTTTAGTGACTACAATAACTGACAAACAAAACACATATAACAGACATTACAAGTCTTTTTCTTTCCTTTTTTATTTTATTTTTTATTTTGAAGATTATGGCTTACTGAACATGAAAATCTCAAATGTTGTTGAAAATTAGAATGTTGTGAAAAAGCTAATTATCTGTAAATTGGATAATTATATTGGTAATTAATTATCTGATTAATTACTCTAATCAGAAAATTAAGTCAAAGTACCTGCAAAGGATTGTCAAGCAAAATCTACTTAGAATTGAATTGAAATTCAATAGATGCTTTATTGATCCCAAAGGGAAATTAAATGTTTTTGTTAAACATTCTTCAGAATTATTGCAGATAGTGATGACTGTGAGCAGGAAAGATTTTCTGTAGCAGTCTGTACTACAGTTATTTTGAAGAACCCTCTCACTGAAGACACTGGAGTTTTTTTAAGACACACCACAAACAGACAAATACTAGACATGGGTGACAAATGTTGCATTCTTCGAAGCCAAGCGTTGCTGAACCAAAAACAACATCAGAGGTAAAAAGGGGAAAAGGAACCAGACTCTTACACAATGATCCAGAGTTCTGTTTTCAGAATAAAGTAAATTCTACATTTAATTTGGAAATCAAGATCCCAGGATGTGGAAGAAGAGTGGAGAGCAATGGAATCCACATTCCAGAGTTCTCAGTCAGTGAAGGTTTGGGTCACCATGACATGTGCTGGATCTGGTCCACTGTGTTTTCTGCAGTCCACCAGGGAATTCTAGAGCAATTCCCTTCCTTCAGCTGAGGGAAGCATGAGGGCAAGCAGAATGGAGATGAGCTTCCATTCCAGCAGTTGTCTCAAACTCCAGTTCTTGAAAACCAGAATCCTGCAACCTTTAAGTGTGTCCCTTTTCCTGTACACTATAGAATTAAATGACTAACCTGCTTGAATAGCATGCATTAAACTCCACAGAGGTCTGCTAATGAGGCAATATCAGAGCCAGGTATTGTGAAAAAGACTCCCCTTTGAAGACTGGAGTTGGAGACGTCTCACACCTGCTTTACACCTATACAGCATTAGAGGCTGATCTCCTCTATGCCATGGAGCACTGATGCAGTAATTCATGCAAGAGACACCAGATTATGCATTGAGTGTGTAGAAATGGGCACATTTTTCAGAATTTGACTCTGTAACACATTTCTAAAAAAAATAACCCCTTTACTTTTTGCGATTACATGTTTACGTAATATTATATTATTACATTGTAAATGTTATTTTTTGAGATGTACTAGTGGAAGTAAAAACTAGTCATCTGGAAAAACTACTGAAGAGCAAAAATATTCAGTAAAAAGGCCTTATGTATTGAGTACTTGAGTAGTTTTGTTTTTTGCTGTCTGATTTAATTTGTGAAAATGATGCAATCAAACAGCCAAAATATAAAATTATAATTATTGCGGTATTCTATAACACGACATACCTTTTGAAGCCACTACTTATAAAAAGTAATGTTTACATATTAGAACAACACTAAGTACTTGCAGAGACAATATCCAGTGTTTACTGCATGTTCACAGTGAGCACAGAATTTTATTTGAACAGTGATGCTTCAAAATAATATTACCCAAATAATATTATTACTTGTATTGCACTGCCTTCCTGATAAGCTGCAGTGCAATGCAGCTTCTCCTAGAAGTAAATTTTTGGCAAGAATTTTTATTCAGTTTCATGTGCCCCACACACACACACACACACACACACACACACACACACACACACACACACACACACACACACACACACACAGGCTTTTAGGAACATCCGTTTGCCAAGGTACAGCCCCCTCTGATTTTGTTACTCTCAAAAGTCAAAGTCGCTAACAAATTTTCTGTGACTCCATTTTGGGTCTTGACCACAGGAGGATATCTACAGAGCTGCACTGGTAAGGTTAAGTTGGCTTGATTTTCGATGCTGTTGTTGTTTTATAAAACTTTAACTAAAGTCATATTGTGAGAATCACAAATATAGAAGTTACTTTCATCTCTTTTCTAAATCTAAACTATTGACAGGATATATTTCACAGATTATTTAAGGGCTAGCTCTTTTTTTTATTTATTTACTTATTTATTTATTTATTTATTTATTTACTTACTTACTTACTTATTTATTTAATGTTGTGATTTTTTTAAACTCACAAGAAGGCATGAGTCTTTAGGTTTAGCATAATGACTTCCTGTAAAAGAGACATTTCCAGCTAAATCAGCTTTTGGGAACATTAAAGTTTTACTATTGATGAAGAAAGCTTTAATGATAATTAAAAATAACAGACTGAACTTAATGAAAGTTGTCCACTCAAACTGTTTCAAGCTCTTATTCATATACACTCATTGTACAAATAGCAACTGTACTTATAACTATGGGCTTTTATATGTCAGGATATAACAATGGTCTGATCTTCAGCAGGTTCTAACATTTTTAAGTCTAACTGTGCAAAACATCCACCAAATTCAAGACTTTCAATATTTCTTAAATTAAATCTTTTAAAAAGATTCCTTCTCACTGCCTTGCTTTTTCTTATTGTAGGAAGGAAGTAGCAGCCATTAACTGCTTAGATGTAGCACCTAGTATAGCAACCACACATCAGGAAATGTGACCAGATGTTTGAACAGTCTGGTGGTTTAAAGGTTTGTTCTGAAATAATACTAAGATGGAGAAATACAAGCAAGAGAAGCATCTGTTCTGATGATGATGTTAATTTCAGTCTCTATTACAGCTTTTTGTGAGAAATCTGCAGTGTTTCCTGCTCACTTAAAAATATAAAATAACTCACAATCTAAAAAAAAAATGTTTTATTTTCATAACATCCAGATATAGCCAGGAGTTAAAACATAATATTCTTTAAAAAGTAAAGCTCACAATGATTCATTTCTGGTAAGAAGCCACAGTTTTTTTTTGTTCTTTTTTTTATACATATATACAAATACCAGTGTTGCGAAGGCATGACTCTTTAATCTTGCTGATCAGCAGTTTCAATTCCTGATTTTGTGAAGAAAAGCATCAGTATGACAAAATGTTTATGAATCACTAGGTAAAGTTTGCTATTTCAAAACTATACTTCTCTAAATACACTTCTCTATAAGATCTACGTAAATGGATAGTTTGGTTTAAGTTGTTGAAGAATATGTGTAAAGCATCAGAGTAAAATTATAAAACTATGAAGATGGGAGACGACAAATCTCAAACATTTAAGAGGTTACCATTGCAATGGAATAAATGTGAGAGTTTTAAAAGATATAACTTTAGGTCTAAATGTCTCTGATTAAGATGTATCTCTGGTCTTTACTTCTTTACTTAATGCAACTTATTATAATTATTTCCTGTCTGGGGATATTAAGTGAGATAAAAAGGGGGACCAATTCTTTAAATGTTGTTACAACATTATCTCACAAGATCTATTTAGATTAATTTTTCTCTCAGTGCTTAGTGTTCAATGAGTTTTGTTAGACTATACAGAAATATTCACAAAGCCTTGTGCATGTATTTGTGAATTTTGCATTTCATTTTTTATGCAGATAAAGAGAGAACGAAGATATTGTGGACATCTCCTGCAGAAAAGCCCCAATTGGGATTGAAGTGGCCTGTTTATCTGTAGTATCTGGTTGAATCCACTTTTTACTGAATAACTTTAGGCACATAGAATCAGATAAATGTCAGAAACATTCCTCAATATATATTTTAGTCTGTATTCATATGTTAATATCATATTAAGTACAAATTAAGTACAAGGCCTTGTTCCCAAAAACATATTATAATAGTTAATATATTGAGCAGGTTGTGGCCAAAACCTTTCAATTATGTTGGATGTATGCAAGTGAATGTATGAATATATGTAAGTTAGCCTTTTTAGTTATGTTACATATCTGCAATAACCTTTTGGACATGTTGAAGCACAAGTTATCATACAACTAACCTTAATAAGACAATTCATATGATAAAAATAATTAATTATGTCTGACTATAGATTTTGGGGAAGTAATTGCATATGGACATGTAGTTTTTCAACATTTGTCTTTTTGGCTCAGACTTGCATTAGGAGTGTAAGAGTTTCAACCCAGACCTCTGTGTGTAACTGACAGGAAGATTGATTTTATCCTAGCTCTAGTCTGACTTCTATATTTCTTTAATGTGCCACAGGAGAAACATCAGCCATGGATGATGATGATTACAATTACATGCTCTTCCTGAAGAATATGAATACAACAGAGGACCCAAGCTACGTGGTCAGTGAACTTGTCCATCTGTGTGCCAAAAAGACTGTTAACATGTTTGGTGCAAAATTGATCCCAGTGTTCTACTATATTAATTTCTTCCTGAGTTACCTTGGAAACGGCCTCCTCCTCCTCATTATCTTCAAGTATGAGAAGCTCGCCACAGTCACAAACATCTTCCTGCTGAATCTGGTGCTTTCCAATCTCCTTTTTGCCTCCAGTTTGCCTTTCTGGGCTACCTACCATTTGTCTGAATGGATCTTTGGAGAAGCTCTATGTAAAATGGTCAGCAGTGCTTATTTCATCGGTTTCTACAGCTCTGTCCTCTTCCTCACTCTAATGACATTTGACCGATACTTAGCTGTGGTGCATGCACTTGCAGCTTGCAAGCGCAGGAAAAAAAAGTATGCCATAATATCGTCTATCATTGTTTGGTGCATCAGTATTTTAGCAAGTGTTAAAGAGTTGGTCCTTCGAAATGTGTGGACGAGCCTGATGCAAGGCAAAATGTGTGAAGAATCAGGATTATCAGGAACCAGTATGAGAGTCTGGCGTTTGGTCAGTTACTATCAACAGTTCATGATTTTCTTCCTCTTACCTCTGACAATGATCATGTACTGCTACGCTAGGATCACACTGAGGATTCTCTCCACCCGGATGAGGGAGAAGTGTCGAGCCATAAAGCTAATATTTGTAATCATCTTCACATTTTTTGTCTGCTGGACACCCTACAATGTTGTATGCCTTCTTCGAGCAATTAATATTTCAGTTGGGGAAACTGAAAAGGAAGAATCATGTTCCACCAAACAAAACCTAGATTATGCATATTACTTGACCCGAAACATTGCGTACTTGTATTGTTCTATTAGTCCAATGTTTTACACATTTCTAGGGAAAAAGTTCCAGAGTCATTTCAACAAACTGGTGATTCAAAAAATTCCCTGCCTGTCCAGACACATTAGCTTCAACAGCCAGAGCACCAGAAGCACCTCACAGAGAACACCTCATTCTGTTTACGAATACTGAGCTAACATAAAAATCCTGATCTTTTAACAGAATGTCATCATGACATGATACAAAAAAAAATTCTTCTCTAATAGCTTGACCATTATGATATGTTACAAATTTAACTTCCCTTTTTCTCTGCAGATCATTCCAGACTGTAAGCCTTTAGATTCCATTTTGAAGAAAATCTTTTGTTATATTTAGCCCCACAGCTATGAGCTTCTCTTATGTTTGAAATCTGGTCAGTTTAATTACTGTTGTGAAAAAAAAAAAACATTGAATGATTCTGAACTTCTTCTTATAATGATTTTAAATATACTGATATGTCTATAAAGATCATTTTTATGTAAAGTGTTTTCAAATTGTGGTCATCTGGGAACAAACTTATATGAATGATTTTTTTGCACCATTGAGTGAATGAAAGATTTGACAACTGTTGCATCAGACTGACTGCAGTCTGAACTGTTCAGAAAGGAAGCCTTGCAATGACACATCAGAACAAGAAGTAGCAGAGAAAAATGAACACAGTAGCTAAGATATGTGAAGGTCCACTCTCAGTTTGTCACGCTGAAATACCTTTGCAGCATCGTCATGTTTACCTGGCTGCATCCTTCCTGACATTATTACTGATACAGCAGTATATTTTTATAGCCCTAATACAGTTTATGAAATCTGATTTTTCTGTGTTAATTGTTACAGTATTGCCTAAGTAGTCGTTGATCGCATTAGCTTACTTTTTAAATTGTCATCTTCTCTTTACATTATAATTGCTCTGTGTAAAAGGTGGAATAATCAGTAAAAATAAATTCTTAACATGTATTACTTAACAGCATTTAAAACTCATAGATATAAATTATCTTCCAAATGTCAAGTGCTTATTTTCTGCATTTAATTTCTTTCATGTAAACCTAATGGAAAAATATTCTGTACCTTGTTTTATTGAATGTTATGCTTGTGGAAATGAATTATAAAGCTTCTCTTTTGTAATTGGACCATGGATATGTGTTTAATACACATCAACATAAAACACATATGTCACACTGCAGTGCTGTGATAAAATTCATTTAAAAATATTTTTTCTCTAGATTCCATTAAGTCATGTGGTACACTGGACATTATTTTAATGTCAAATTTAAATAAATAAATAAATTTTAATCCAAAGCAAGAGGTTTTTATCAGGTGAAAAATCTATATACAAATCATGTAAAGCAGCACAAATACAGGATGTGTTAGCATGCATTAAAATCACATGACAATAGCAGGCCTTATTCAGGATAACAATAAAGTGGATTACATAAAAGAGGTTCAACATCTTGTGGACTGGTGTAGAAAAAAACAACCTGCACTAAGTTCCTGGAGGGTCACATTACAGAAAACGTTGGCTGGACACCTCACATCACTTCCCTGGAGAATAGGCACAGTAGCACCTGCACTTTTTGAGATGAATGATCCTCTCCACCTTCTACAGAGGAACCACTGAGAACCTGCTGACCAGAAGTAACTCCATCTGGTCAAGGAACTGTAAGGTCTCTGCGAAGAGTGGTGACAACAGTGCAGAAGATCACTGGGACTCCGTTCCCCCCTATCCAGAACATTACACACATATGCTGCTTAGCCAGAGCTAGTCAGATCCTCTGTGATTCCATCCATCCTCTCTATGGTCTGTTCATCCAGTTGGCATCTGGCAGAAGATTCAATAGCATCTGCTGTAAAACATCCAGACTCAGAAATAGTTGTGTCCCACTGGCCATCATTTTGATAAACAATCCCATTACTAAGACTGTCTTAGATTTCTTGAAAATGCATAGTCAGCAATATCTTGTTATTTGTACATTTGTGTAATTATAGGCACACTTGTGTTTTTGTGAGTGCTCTGGTGACATTTCATTGCCAATTTCACTTATGTGTATTTGTGCCATGACAATAAAATAGGTCTAAGCCTAAAATGTTACTTTTCTTTTTGCTAAATAAATTTGTTTTTGTTACATTTCAGTGTCACATAGTTCATATTACTGAGACTGAATCCGATACTGATAAAGGTTTATTAGTAGAGGAATAGGTAACTCTGCAAATATGGCTACAATGTACTCAGGAAACACACATCTTGTCCTTATTGGATCCTTACAGTTGTGGTGAATTGGTTCTGAAATGGTTAGCAAACACTAACTCACCTCTTCTCAGTTATTCTTATATGTCTGAGTGTAAGTATACTTTTCTTTAGTGGTCTTAGTTTGGTTATTTCTTTAGTCTTTCTAGTTGTTCTTTATTTCAGCTCCCTCATTGTATGTCTAGTTTTCTTATCTAGCTACCTTAGGTTTCATTCTGTTATGTCTGCATCCACGCTCTGTCTTCTTTTAGTAATTCTAGTTAGGTTATATATTTTTTTTTCTTAAACAGCATTACTTTCAGAGCAAACACACCACATGAACTGACATCTTGCTGGATGGCATTGTCACATTTCCACTTTGACATTTTCATCCCTTTTCTTTTCATAATACCCTTGTTAAAAGAATAAATGTTAAATTAACATTATAGTTATTCAATGATGACACTTTTGATATCTAATAAACAAGAATTGTTCTAGTTTTTCTCACCTTGCTGCTTCCTACTGGTTATGAGTTTCACATCAATAGGATAACATTTGAGACAAATAGAGTGGGCTTGCAGATATCTGCAGGCTAATAATAGGCTTTGCCTGAAATGCATCCCCCTGCTAAATTGGAGAAAAAAAGATTTAAGAGGGATTTCTACATAATCAGAGTATTTCTATGAACTACTGTTATGAGTTTTATATCTTGGCAGCCTCAGAAATTAAAATACATCCCCCCTATATTAATGGATTAGACAGTTAAGGATGATATCAAATGTTCTATATAATGGGCCTCAGTTTTGTAGCTTTAAGCTGTTATGGTGTTGAATGAAACATCTGGGAATTTCAAAGCAGCTGCGGAGAACATGTTCATCACTGAAAAACCCTCGACTCATATGTCTCAATAAAGGCGTAAAAACCGCATTTATTTCAATTAATCTGCGAAATAAAACTCACCGTTTCAGGGCTTACGTGGTTAAGAAACGTGATAAAGTTACAAACATCTTTGAAAGTTTCCTCTTCGGTCAGATTTCAGTGTTTCCTCCTCAATATGAAAGAGTTTAGAGCGATGCGCGCTCCCGCGACAGGGGAGGCGTTTCTGTTCTGATCTGAACAGTGGTGGTTTGTTACCTGTGCTCAAAGACTAACATGGAGTTTTATTACAGTTTTATTACAGTTTTATTACAGTTTTATTACAGCTTTATTACAGTTTTATTGCAGCTTTATTACAGTGGACCAGGAGCTCGCTGCGCTGTTTGTTACTGACCATTCATTCAGTCCACCTGTCCTGCGCTGTGCGGGATGGGAAACTGTCACATGTTAGTGTGAAAAGTTGCACTCTAAAAGTGTATTTGGGCTGTAGTTAATGTTATGGCCTTTTTTACATTAACCTGACTTAATTGTTTGGCTTTAGTTATGTCAACTTACTTTCATGAGTTCAATTAACTTAAAAGACACACATTTCATCTAAAACAAACGGTTAACTTTGAGTTGACGTGAACCAATTAAGTTGAATGCAGTTTTACGTCTGACGTCATTACGCAAGCTTTGCCCGAGACAGATCCACTTCTTGTACCGACCGCTTGTGCAGCCGCCATTTCTTCTGACCATCGACTGTCCACCGGATTGTAAAACAGTAAGTATTCTACACATCATGGCAAAATATTATTTAAACGGTGTAAAATATTAATGACTTTTTCTACCTTTAATTTGAAACAGTTAACTGTTTTTAACGTCGAAGTATCATCAGTTATTTGCTTTGAACACATTTGCTAGTTGTAATTTGCCGCGCTATTCGGCATGTTTGAACTTAACTGCTCTGTTAGTTAGTGAACGTTTATTTTGAGTGTGTACTTTTTATTTGACCCTAAAGAACTGAAATAGCTGGAAGCCGGGTATGTAGTGAAAAACATGAAATGTGATTTAGACTGGAGACGTTCAGGGCTGGTGCTGGTGGACCGAGAACTGCTGGCGTGTTCCGGTCGGAAGCTAGACTGGGTCAAAGTGTGGGAGCAGCTAATGCACTGCAGTGGTGGCCAGATTTTATAACAAGAACTACTGGACAGGTTGATTTTTTATGGTAATCTTAACGTACAGTTACGGAGGTGTTAGTGTTATACGCAAAACTAATTTAATGTGACGCAACTGCGCTCTGCTTGTCACTTGTCACCGTGAGCTGCAGTCAGGGAAGCCATTTGTTCCAATTGTCAGCCTGCTTACTGACGACATGATATAAAACGCATAATATCCTGACTGCGCTAATAATCCATAAGATGTCATTTTTCTTAAAAAAAGCAAAAAACAAATAAGCAATTCATGTTTGTAGGAACTTTGAGTTAATTTCTCTTTCCCACTCTCCAGGCCTGGAGCCAAGCATCATCAGACCATAGAAGGTAAGCCATATTTGCTTCACTAAGCTTCTAATTTAGAAAAAAAAGTTAAGTTATTAGTTAATATGCTGTATTGTATCAATAATATGAAAAACATATACTCTAAACTAATTCAAAAATAGTTTCGATAAATAACATCATTTTAAAGTAAAAGGAATAATAGGTGGTCAAAGAACGAGATGAAATTAATTTCCTCCAAAGGGTTGATGAGCTCTCACTCAACATGGGGTCAGAAGCTCAGTCATCTCGAGAGGCTGAGATTAGAGCTGTTGCTCCTCTACATCCAGTGGAGCCATTTGAGGCGGCTCGCGCATCTGATTAAGATGCCTCCTGGAAGCCTCCCTGGTGATGTTTTCTGGGCACGGCCTGCCAGGAGGAGGCCATTGTAGTGGGACTATGTCACTCAGCTGGGCTGCAAAGTCTTTAGGATTCCAAAAGGTAGGGAGGTGGCTGGGGAGAGGGAAGCTGCCCTTGCAACCCCACTTTTGATTAAGCTGTTAAGAATTAATTATAGTTAAACAACTTTTTGTTTTCCCACCAATATCTAACATTATTTTAATTTCTAACACTTAAAGAGTGGACAGACATAAAATAGAAAGGCAATGTCATTTTTTGTCCCTCATAGGGAAAATTACATTGCAACAGCAGAAAGTGACAGGCAATTTGTTTACACAAACATACATATACCAATGTGTGTTTTTAAATATGCACACACAGAGAATTAAGAGAAACATACTGTACAACCAGGGCAAAATTACAACCTAAAAATACTTTGGTAGACTTTAAAGTTTAATCCCATCCTAAGAAATATGCAATTGAGAAGGACAATTTAAGAGATGTGCAATTTTGCCTAAAATATTTGCAATACTAACAATATGACATTTATTAATATAGAGAATGTTTTTCTAGGATATTAAAACATACTGTAATAATTATGGTTAAAAATGCATTCAGAATCTATATTTTACCAAACAGATCTCAAGTATTGCATGGGGGTAAGATTGTAACAATACTCAAAATTGACTCTGCATCCATATTTGTTTAATCTTCCTTGCCTTCAGATTTGGCAACATACATGTAACACAGTTCCTCTCTTATCCTTCTAGTGTTTCACTTCATGTGGAGATGCAAAGACTGCGAGAGCTTGTTTTCCAGAAGATCTGAATTGCTCAAGCACTACAAACTAAACCACAGGCATTATGGACGGGGCTATTCATATCCATGCACATATTTAAGTTGCGCATGTAGATTCAAGACCTAAAATTTTGGCAGAGGTGGAATTTGCATAATTTTGAAGAGCATTATTAACCCGGTGGACATGTGGGCTGCACATTATGGTATTTGAATATATTACTGTTACATCAGAAATCTTGTCAGAGATATGGAATATTGATAACAATACATTTTCTCCAGGTGGAGGACATTGGGATTCGAAGGGAATGTGTTCTGAAAGGGCTCATCACCTTTCTTGGAGAGGATCCAGAAGACCTTATTAAGGAATACAGTGTAAGTTTCTTTTAAAGGTTTGAAGCCGCATCTTAACCCATTCAGGAAAATTGAAAATTCAATGTCAGTTGCTTGTACCTTTTTAAATTATTTCTGGCCTGCATTTTCTATATTTAAACATCTGTTTTAATACATCAGGCAGATTTGGTGTCAGAATTGTAAATTTAACATGGTTATGTCCTGCTTAAATCCAACAGTGGTGTGCTTTGCTATTCAGCAAAGACCATTATCTAACTTCACTATCAACTTCATTTCCTGTTCACCAATATAACAAACAAGTTAATAAGAATGTTTTAGTCATGCTATTTTCATACCAGCTCCAAAATATCTGATAAGTAACAGAAATATGCATTTTGTGTTGATTTCCAACCTAAGATGACCATTGGCTTGGACTACTATTCTGCTTTGATGTATAATCTATGAATTTGTTTAAGCTAAAACCTGCAATATGACAAAACACATATAAAGTTACATCCTTGTATTATCTTTTCTAAAAACCTTAAAAATCACCCTTTGAGTTATTCAATTTTTAATGCAACTTTGAACTTGGAAAATTTATCAAGGATATTTCAGATGCCATAAACGATTCTCTTCAATTCACAAGCTGTACACTTGTACTTAATGCTTCCATTTATAAGGCTTTTATTTGTCAACTGACAGATTAGTTACAGTCTTCAAGTTTAACATATGGTTTATCTCACTACAGGGCAGCTGTGGAGATGATGCCCAGATGGATCTCAAACAACTCACCCTGGCAATGTTTGTGAAGAAGGGAGAGGGATTGGAAGAATCCCCAGAAGACATTGGCATTGTCATTGAGGGAGTGGAGGTGTTGCATGACCTGACTTCAGTTGCCTCAGCATGTGCCCTGCTTCTGGGTTTGATATATGCCCTTAACCTGGCTTATCCGAAGCCTCTGCGCTTCACATTTGAAGTGTTTCAAAAAATCTTCATGCAACTTGACCAACACAAAATGTCTCCTAAAGTTCAGAATTTGTTTGGAAGACTTCAGACCTCTCAGTAAAGACAATTGTATGTTGTGCAAAATGACAGATTATTTTCTGTCTTTGTTTGAACATGAGGGGGCTGTGTTTTGGAAGCTTAACCTCAAGGGACTGAACTTTTTGAATTTCTTTTGGGACATTGTGCATATTAAAGCCACAGCATTAGTAGGCTGCTGTAGTATTGTTCACAGACACTTTCACAGTGTTTTTTCATATTTTTTTTTCAATTTGGATTAAGCAGTGCTTAATGTTTACTATTCTGTTCTGATGTCAGTTAACTTAAGTATCGGAGATGGTTTAAATGCTGCAAGCCATGACCCCACAACCTTGTTTGAAAGCATGTAGATGTTATTGCTTGTTTTCAGTTTGTTCTTGAAGATGTTAAAAACAGACACACATGTTCTTACATTTTATGTAAAAACAGTTTAGGGATTGAGAATGTTGATTTCCTTTATTTTAGGAGGACTTGTGGTAAATCTGAAAAACATTGTTTTTCAGAGGAATATCTGGATTCTACAAGCTCACACAGGGATGTCCAAAGTTTGTCCTGGAGAGCCATCAATGTGCAAATGTCAGATGGACTATTTCAATACCACCTTGCTGAATTTACACACCAGCAGACACTCAGCTGAGCAGAGGCATAGTAATGAGCACTTAATTTTATTTGGAGATTGGATTCATCTGAAAGTTGGAGGATGGTAGCTCTCCAGAACTGGACTTGGGGTACCCCATGTTCAGTTTACTAAAAAGCTAACTCAATTAAGCAGACAAGCAAAAGATCTGTGTAGTATGTTCAGTGCAAAATGTGTTGTGAAAAATCTGTAAGTTTGTGATTTCACAATAAAATTTAACATTTTCTATTTGTGCAGTGTAGATTTGTTATAACCAAGTTGAATTTTTGGGTAGTGTAAAGGAATTTTACTGCTATTGTAAAAGCTAAAACATACTTTAAAAGTGATTTATATTTAAGCATTATTGTAAGTACAAAATATGCATAAACGACTTTGGGTAGTTTCATTTTTTAACTTAGAACAACTTACATTTTTGAGTTGACTTTCTATAAATTTAAGTAAGATGGATTAAACATTTGTATATGAAATAAAGTAAATAAATTGCGTTAGACTGACCTAAATTTATCAAGTTAAACAAACTAAAAAAATTATGTTGATCCAACTTAATTGAATTACTTGTTACCTACAGAAGTAATTCAATTAAGTTGGATCAACTTTTTTTTTAGAGTGTGGATCTCTCAATGTGAGGCTGTCAGCTCTATGCTTTCATGGACTCTAGTTCTTATTTTTATAGAGACTCTGCGCAGCCAGCTCTAGTTTTTCTTTTCTGGTTCCTGATCTTGATGTGTTCAGTTTGAACATTTCTTTGTCTTCATGTATATTGAGAACATCTGAGCCCTTCAGGAGCTTTAGTTCTGCTATTCATCCTGGGATGTACCACACTGTAAGGATGGAGGGGTGGATGGTGTCCTTTGCTTTGGTTGGACACCTTCTGTTTCTTTGCTTGTCTGCCTGACAATGGAGCCGCAGCCCTCCGGCGGTCTGGACGGAGCCTGGACGCTGTGGACCAATCTGTGCTCGGTTTTTGCTGTTTGTTAGGGAAACGAGGCAATAGGCAGCAAACTAAGCGAGGCAGACATCCATTCTGTTTCATCGCAGAGAGAAAACCAAGTCTGCTGTGTTATCAACACACCGTCAGCGGGGGGCGGGGAGAGACACCTGGAACCACTCAGTTTTTGTCTTTGTTTGCCTTTTCTGTGAAGATGTCCGCTTTGACTGGGATGTTGGTGCTGCTCGTTACGTCTCTCATCATCACATCTAATGGCGCATTGTCAGCATCCCGTAAGTATATTATCATCTCTCTCTCTACTTCTGTGTGTGTGTGTCTCTCTCTCTCTCTCTCACACACACACACACACACACGCACGCAGCTTTTCCCTGCAATATATGAAGACAGTGTTTTGTGTGGAGGACAGAGTAGCGGACTATGCAGGATGATCCGTTGAACGAGATCAGCGGCCCAGCATCACCAACCGCGCGATACTTTCATTCATCAAGGACGAGAAAAGCAGAAGCTGCTTCCTGTAGGGGACACAGAGGAAGGGCCGGTGTGTCTGTGAGCCTCGTCAGATTTGATGGGTAGCACAGATAGTTAGAAACCTGCCCAATCCTCCATGGCACCCTAAACACATTTGGTTTTGGGCCCTCTAATCCTGCTTAGATTAGATGATTGGCATACCTGCTATAAACATCTCCGACAGTGCTGCTTACGTTGTTCCCTATTGATATGAATCATACATCCATGATATTGGAGTTCATTCATTTTTGTTTCTGAACACCACCCAGGTTCATCAACTAGTTTCAGGACCCGACCAGAACCCCTCAGAGTGAATTACCTTGAGAAATGATGAGATTTGGTTATATATAAAAACAGGCTTTCAGCCTGTTTACATATGACTGCCAGCAATCACACATCAACATGGTTATATAAGCTGCAGTGTGTGAGTGTAAGCAGATAAAAGGGACAGGAAAAGACAGAATCCATAACAATATTTATTAGAGATTTCCTGAATTTTGCAAAATGCCAGTCTTATCCCCCGATCTTAAAAACCTCAGCAAAGGTTTAAAAATCACCCACTGTCCTCTACTACTCTCCCTTCAGAGAGGTTTGTCTGATGGACTAGGTCAGTAGTTCCCAAAGATTTCTGGGCCCCACTATGGATTGCCCCCCAAAAAAGGAAAAAAAAAATCAACTGGACACGCACACCGTTCAACTAGACTAAACCGCTACACATTATTTTGTTTTCAAACACCACTGAAGTTTATTTCACACTTCAGGTTGCAACAAAACAAACGACAAACCATCTTTACAGTGAAACACTTTTGTGTAACTGTTTGGGTTTTTTTTCCATTCATCCATACTGCTTCCTGCCACCCCCTGCTCTAGGGGGCGCTCCACACTTTGGGAACCACTGATTTAATCCTTCCAGAAAATGTTCATGATCAAATATATATTACGGTTTTAAAAAATCACAAATTTATAATGAAATTGTTTGTTTTTAAATATAATCACGTAGAAATCATTACTTTAAAAAAAATCTGTTCCACTTGGTTTCACCACCACTTAGGGCTCCGGGACCCCAAGCTGCTGCTTAGTTTGTTTGGTTTGGGTCGGCCCTGCGCAGGCTGACTGGAGTGAGACTGCCCTGCCCTAGGGACAGGAGAAAGACTGGCTGGATATGGACTGAGATGAACTAATTCAGTTGATGAGTTAATAGAATAAATCAGAAAAAAGAAAAAAAATGCAGCAATTTTGCATTTTGTTATCACCTTTACACTTTAGCTTCGTCTAAAGTGAATTGGAAAAGTTTTTCACCTTGTTCTTTAATAACAATGATAACCTTCCAGAGTTCAGCCTCTATTTCCTTAAGAGCCTGTACTGTGGCGTGAGCTTTCCTCCTGAGCAGCTCAGATCTAACCTCAGCGCTCTGCTTCAACAGCAAAAGACAAGCTTGAAAAAAGTCAATTGCTCAAGACTATTTTGAAAACATGTCAGACGTGTTGTCAGAAGGTAATAGTGTGAACATTCATGAAACAAGTTAAAATCCAAAGCAACAATACAAAATAACACACAAAACATGATAAATCCAGTTTGTTTTTTTTCCCTGGTCTTTCTGCGTAAATGAAAATAGATAAGACACTTCAAAGAGCTCGTCAGAGTACCTGCAGGAAAAGCAGCAGAGGAAACACAGAATCCCTTCACACTCCTCTCAGCCGAGACTCCAGTAATTAGGCTGTTCATTAGCCAAAATGTACATGTAACTTTGTTGATGAGAAAGTACTATTACATTCTGATTCTAGTGATCTGAAATTCCAGTTTTTGATGAAATGTCATTGTTTACCTTTTTTAATGTATAGATGATTTCTGTTTCACCTTGCAACTGCTATTACAGAATACACAACTGACTGCTGAAGGTGATCTTTGTCTTTTTTCAATCTTGCTGGTTTAGGGAAGTGTGATGACAGCTTGGTAACACCGCTTCCCATCAAATCCTTCAACAGCTCATCAGAATATGGCAGAGGATATGCAGCTGCTTTTGCTAAACTCAACAGAATACAAGGTATGATGGTGTGATGTCAAGCACTTTGCAATTCTGATGCTGTGTGAACATTGATTGCCTTTCTAAGAATGTTCATTCTTTATATCTACTGTTTTCTTGAAGCTTTTGCTTACATAATTGGTTTAAGATGAGGGTGTCTTTCTTAAAGTTTGGAGGGGTGATATTTCAATATTCATAATAGATCGGAGAGCAGAGACAATTAAAAACAGTAGCGCAGGGAGCATTAGCCTACATCTTCTATATTTAGTCCAGTTCAATGTAAAGCTGCATAATTATTCTAAATACCACTGTGATTTCAATGTGAGTACAGCAACAGGAGGGACTGCTTAGATGGAAGGCTGCACTATATAGTTTCTATACATTTCAATTCTGCTCTCAAATCATTTAGTTAATTAATTAAATGGAAGTTCACAGTTTTTACAATCATTTATGCCTAATGTCAATGATGTTTGTCTTACAAAGGGTTTGAACCTGCATCCTCTTGGACCAATAATGACCAACTAATGCTCACAGCAGGTGGCGAGGACATTAGAGAAACTTGAGTAAAATGGGGGCTCATTATAATTAGTGTCATCACTGTAATATTTAGCTAGCTATCAATTGTTTGCACATTGCTAAAGTCAGACATACACTGCATGTCTCTGCACTGAGTTCACTCACAGACTGAATAGTTATTGTTGTTTGCTTTGCTCTACATCTCACCTTTTTTACAACGACATTTCCCCTTACAACAGTGTTTGTAGTTTTATTATTACTCCTGGTGGTGAATTGCAGGAATAACATTGATAGATCAATTTGAACTTCTCAGTGTTTTGTGAAACATTCCAAACACAGGACGGTCTGAAATGATCCAAAGTGACAATCCTTGATAAAGGCTCATATAGCTGGACATAGGACAGGATGGAGCTTATATTCTGTCTACAACATGAATGGATGTTATATTCTCTGCCCACTTACGTTGCAGCGTTAGATCTTTAGTACTTCTGTTTTGTTCTACTGGAAGTTGAGTCTGTGATAAAAGTCAGTAAATGTTGTGTTTGAAACTTCTGTTGAGAAAACTTCAAAAGACTTTGAAACTGCTTTCTATGTTCATGACTTTGATCAGTCTAGGGTAATGTTTCTCAGTTCCGGTCTTCAGGGACTACTGAATGGCATGTTTCAGATGTTTCCCTACTGCCACACACCTAACTTTAATGAGTCATTCTTCTGCAGTACTTGATTTCATGCAGTCATTTGAATCAGGTGATGTGGAAAAGGAACACATCTAAAATATTCAGGGCCCTGAGGACCAGAACTGAGAAACACTGGTCCAGGGCCAGGATAGTAGTCAGAATCTACCATGTATGACAATTCATTTCAAGATCCAGTTACTAAATAATTTATCATACCATCATGACTTCTCACTCAGACAAAGACTGTTGATTAGAAGTATATATCCACAGTGAAGTGATTTCAACAAAATAAGTTTTAATCATCTGTTTCTCCGTATTGTCAAGAGATTTGTCATGTTTCTCTGACTTGGCTTAAAAGAAGGCACACATCTAAAAGAAACGAGATATTAGTGAAAAACTCACATTGAGAAAGTTTTTTTTTTAATTCTCCAACAAGCTTTTCTTGACTCAAAGTATTAAGCCAGAGTCTTTACTTAAATCTGAGAGATGGTAAAGAAGCCCTCCAATCTCTAGACCTGGAGCTTAGAGTAGTAAGTGATATATAGGGAAAGTGGTTGCCCATGTCTTGAGTTCAATTCCCAACCCTTGGACTTTTGCTGCATGTAAACTGTAAATAAAGACCACTGGTGTAAGAAAAAACACTAAAAGAAAGAGTAAATATGGTGAGAAATATGTTTTTTCCCTAGACATTATGTTTTTTTAGCTATATATGAACACATGGATCTAAAGCTTGCCTATTGCCAATTCACATTTTACTGAAGCCCACTCACTGTTCAGTGGTTAGATTGATTCTTGTCAAGAGTTTGTGTTTTTGGCCTTGATTGTAGCAAGAGTGAATTTGTTGAAAGCAGAGATAAAATGTTTACGAGCTCCATAACAATGAGAATAGAGCAACTTTGTGTCAACTGAGTTATACCTGAGAGAAACTGAAGGAGTAGATAAATTATTAATTTTTTTCTGTTTTTCAAATTTCTCACTCTGAACAACCCAACATCTAGGTGCTGGAGGCTGGTCACCTTTGGATACAAATCGTTACCAGTGGCTGCAGGTAGACCTGGGCTCGAGGAAGCAAATAGTTTCCATAGCAACTCAGGGGCGCTACAGAAGCTCCGATTGGACAAGTCAGTACCAGCTGCTTTACAGTGACACAGCCAACAACTGGAGGCCATATTTAAAGGATGGAAACATTTGGGTAAGATTAAGTTAAACATTTTATTTGCAGAAAAATGCACAGTCTTGTCACACAGAGACACGTCTAGTTTGGACAGTTTTATTTTCAATTCAGTTAGTTCATTTTATTGATATAACATCAAATTTACAGAAACTGTCATCTCATTCTTCAGGTTTAAATTAAATGCACCCAATTCAAATCCATATTAATTCCAAGTATCCTAAAATGTCTCCAATTCATTACAAATATCGAAAGCAATCAGATACATGATTCAGTCATAACAACAAACAAAATAAAGCATAGCTACTTGAGTAATTGTAACCCTCTAGCAGAGTTAACATTCTGTCTCTAAACCTCACACAATATTATGCTGCATGATCTGTTATACAATGTCTTTTGTTCTGAAATACACCATGTTCCAAATTATTATGCAAATTGGATTTAAGTGTCATAAAGATTAAATTTTTGTTGTGTTATTAAATTTATAGATGGTATTGTGTCACAGGGCTCTTTGAATCACTATCATTAATTTAAGAGAGCTGTGTTGACTAGTTTGTCTGATGAGCTCAATTAAAGGAAATCTACTTAAGAAGGATGTTCCACATTATTAAGCAGGCCACAGGTTTCAAGCAAGATGAGAAAGAAAAAGATCTCTGCTGATGAAAATCATCAGATAGTGTAGTGCTGTATGACAAGGTATGAAAACATTAGATATTTAACAAAAACTGAAGTGTTATCGTACTGTGAAGAGACAAAGATGGCTGATTCAGAGCAAAGATGGGTTTGCACAGATAAAGGCATAATGAGGAAGGTTTCTGTTAGACAAATTCATGGAAGTAAGAGCAGCTGTTAAAAAGCCCTTACAAAGCAGCAATTAGTTATTTGAAGCTGCTGGTGCCTCTGGAGCCTCAAGGTGGAGGATCCTCCAGAGATTTGCGGTGCATGAACCTACTATTGGTCTCATTTATAGTTCCAGTCAGCACTACTGTTGCAGTAAAACAAAAAGATGGCAATCATTTAATTACAAGAAATAGAAATGCAATATAATTTATTGCAACAGAAACTACAGGAATAAAATATTATATACGTAATATATATTATGTAGTAGAACAGTATTTCCAGCTCATCTAAATAAAAACCCTTTATCCAAAATGAACAAAACACAACAATGGAAATGTATTTTATTGCAGCAGAAAAATGAGATAAAATAATACAGCCTAATATTAATCGCATGTTTCAGACATTTAAAGGGAATAATAACAGTGAAGATGTTGTACGTGAAGAACTACAACATGCTATAGTGGCCCGCTACATCCGCTTCATCCCCCTGTACTGGAGCCAAAAGGGGCGGATTGGAGTCCGCTTGGAACTCTATGGCTGCTCATATTGTAAGTAGAAATGCACAAAGGAACAAACAATGTAAAAATTGTGAACTGTGATAGACTGAATATTATCCAATTTTTGTGTATTGCTGAAAATTAACTGGACCCTTTAATCCTAAAAGTACCTGGAGATTTTTTCATTTGAAATAGAACTGATTTATGAATAACTGCCAAAACTCTTTCGCACTCTTAGACATTTGCTGGTTTATGATTCAGATTAATTCCTTATGCAAAACATTGAATTTGACTTTCTTTTTCCTTTGTCTCTAAGGGGCTGATGTAATCAGTTTTGATGGCCATAGCATCATCTCTTATCGCTTCAGGAGTAAAAAGATGAAAACTGTGAAGGATGCTATTTCTCTAAAGTTTAAAACCACAGCCAGAGATGGTGTGCTGCTTTATGGAGAGGGACAGCAAGGAGACTACATCCTGCTGCAGCTTCACAGGGCAACAATGGAGTTGAGCATCAACTTAGGTAGGAACATTAAAAGGTGAAAGGACTAAATATATTATCTTTCAGAAACGACTTGTGGGATGTTTACCACCTGTGTTGTTTGTGTTGCTTTTCTCCAGGTAGCAGTCAGTACAATCTGATTAAGGGTCACACCTCTGTAACCAGTGGAAGCTTATTAGATGATGGTCACTGGCACTATGTTGTCATTGAGCGTCACCGTAGAAATATAAATTTTACATTGGACCACCGAACTCAACAGTTCAGGACTAATGGAGAGTTTGAGCACCTGGACCTCGACTATGAGGTAAACTGTTCATGCACTGAACTCCGTTAAAAACTTCATGGTTGTTCCACCAATTAATGATTTCTGAACTCTTCTTGAATTAAAATGTTATTGTTGTTTCTAAATTAATATAAACTTGTTTTCTTTGCATTACTTGAAGTCTGAAAACTGCATGTTTTTCATTATTTTGACAATTTCTTATTTATCGCAAATAAACATTAAATCTATGCTTTGAATTTCAGAGACATGTCAGTAGATCATAGAATAAAATAACATAATCCATTTAATTCAAAACATCCATCGATCCATCCATTATCTGTTCACCCTTGTCCCTAACGGGTCGGGAGTTGCTGGTGTCTGTCTCCAGCTGTGTTCCGGGCCGGGGGCGGGGTACAGGGCATACTCAAAACATATATCTATAAAATGTCAAATTAGACAAACTGATCATTTCAAGCGGTCTCTTAATTTTGTCCAGAGCTGTATTTAAATGTCATTTTTTTTCTTGTGTGGTGAATATCACACATTCACTGACCACACTGTTGGCATGTTTCATTCAAAATGAGTTTACACGTGTTTAGTGATGACTATCCTAACCGTACTCTGCGTTTTCTCAGCTTACCTTTGGAGGACTTTCTGAATCTGCAAGAATGAGTTTAGGTGGCAAAGATAACTTTGCTGGCTGCATGGAAGGAATCACCTACAATGGAGACAACATCACCAGCTTGGTGCGCAGGAAGAAGGTGGACACCTCCAGCTTTGTAAGAGTCTCTACTTTTTCTTGCATGTTTCTTGTTTAACATTTTGTTTGAAAAGCAAAATGTTAAACATTTTCAAAAAGCAATCATAAGGTATTTTTATGGCCATATTAGGAGATATCAGCCTTAATATTTTCGAAATCTTTTGCAAATCTTTGCAAAATCTTTCAAACAAACCTGACAAAGTCTCTCTGGTGTGTCTAATGTGTGACTTTATGAGAAAAAAAATCGACACTTCATTTCAGTGTATATGTTTTATAGCTATATAAATAAACTGTGAAGGTCATGTATACACAGGATACTGATGGGTTGGTGCTGAATGTGCAACAATTTTAACTTCTGTGAGTGTTTTCGGTGGGGAGAAAATCTAATTTTTAATTCAAGGTGCAGATTATACTAGAATAAGAAAGACAAGAAACATCAAAACATTCTCTTTATTTATGACCACATTTCCAAAAAACTGAATTCTTAAGTGTGTAAGTGTAGCACCAGGTTAGTCAATAACAGTCCTGCACAATGCTTTAGTTTTTTCCCTGAATCATTACCAGGCCTCTGCAGAACATTGACATGGAGATGTGTGGACTATTTGAATCATTTATGGTGAACACAACATCACATATACAAATTAGTCGTTACTTGGCTTACTCAGCAGGCCAAGAGGTTGTGCAGCTAAAACCTTTTCTTTCCTTTACATCCCCCAGAATACTGTGAATTTCTGGATCGAAGTTCAATGAAATTATTGGACAGTTTATTGGATATACTTTCTGTTAAGTTGATCACGTCTATACATTTTGTTATTGATTATTGACCAGCCCTACCTCTCTGGATTAAAAAAAACTCTATAAGCTCACCACTGCTGCTCTGATGCTGCCTGTAGCTGCTCAAACACACATCAGTGCTTTGCTGTTCACTGCAGCAGGTGAAATGTCGATACTGGAGCAAATTGCACAAAGTGACAGCTGCTGTGGTGTGGAATATCGTCATAAGTTTCTAAAAGCTGCCTTGATAATTAGTGCTGGTTCAGTATAATCCTTGAATTTGTCCTGACAATTTGGTACGTTTTTAGTTCCATTCACAGGTAAAAGGCAATTAACAAAAACAGTTCCAAAAACTTGCAGTTTGCTTTGTGAGAGACTCAAATACTGAATGGATGCTTGAGTCTCAGGTCACATGGCCGGTACAGTGAAACAGCAATGGCTCTTTAAATCAGTTATGGTTCCTCCATGGTTTCACATGACTCATCTAAGTCAGCAAATGACTTAGATTTTTTTTTTTATTGATTTTGAAAAGCTAGTTGCAGTGCTAGCTTATCAAAGCAATGATGACCAATTGCGGCTGTGGAATTCCTAATATTTTGTATTGTTTTCTTTGTTTTTTTTTATTTGCAGCTCAGAATAAGAGGTATTCAGTGAGATGCCATCTAAAGGATAGCTGTTCACAGTCGTAGTCAGATTGACTCACTCGATCAAAAATTGTTTTAAAAAAATAAAGACATGAGTGCAAGATCACTGAATCATAAACACTTAGGAAGCAAGAAGTGGTTTGTTTTGCCTTTTTGTGGTCATTTCTTGCAGCTAATTTTTCTTCCACTGGATTTATGTTTCACTGCAGCGTAACCTGACATTCACCTGTGCTGAATCCAGCTCTTTTCCTGTCTACTTCAACTCCACATCCTTCCTGCGGCTGCCGGGTCAGAGGGACAGTGACACTCTCTCAGTAAGCCTGTCTTTCAGGACGTGGAACCCCAATGGAGTGCTGATGTTCACACAGCTGGCTGAGGGTTGGTTGGAGCTTTTACTGATTGAAGGCAAGATCACTGTCTACATGAACGTGACACAGAAGAGGAGCACTCGTATTGACATTTCATCAGGTGAGCTCAGCTCTGTGTTTAGAATGGCCTTGGAAAAACTCTTGGTTCTTGGCTTGTGTTGCAGAAAGCAAGTGGAGACAATTGGAAGCTGGATTGATTGATTATTTTATTACATTTAATGAAAATATGTTTATATAGATTATCTAAACTATGAGAGTTTGTGACTGGATGTGCTGTAGGAGATCACTGACCAATAATCTTATGTACGGAGAGGATAGAGGGATTCTGTCTGGACAACAGACAGAATCCTCATTGTGGCCGTTCCTCTGTGTGTTCTGGCTTTGGGCTGCAGAACTACCTCAGGAACCACTCCTAGGAAAAGACTCCTACAAAGAGTAGAGTCACGAATGTTAGAGCTGAACAGGGTCAACGGCCGGCTTTTCCGTTGTGTTGGAAATGTGGTACGGATACGTAAACAAATATTTTACCATGAAAGTTTTATGTGGACAGATGGTGTTAAGCTTGATATCGTTAAGATTATCATATATTACTCCACTTTCACGCCTGATCTATGGCACAACTAGTTGCTTGTATTGGTACATTTAGAATTTTCTGAAACTTCCCAGGTATTCTCTGGCAATGTGGCAAGTTTTGATGCTGCATGGAGATATGAGTCTTGGGCACAACATTCTGTGACATAAGAAATTTTTCATTGTACTGGAAATTCTGGATCCTCAAAAACGCCATGACGAGAAACCCTTCTGCTACCAGAAAAACAGAAAATGTTTGCTGCAGGAATGATGGAAGCATGAACTCCTGTAGGCTCCATGCTGATTAACACAGCATAGAGCAATGAAGCCACCTTTAATGAGCCAGACTCTGACTTGTTACCAGAATATCTGAACACAAGTGGTCATAATCAGCGGTTAAAGTAAGCCAGTACTTTTAAAAGATTCTGAACCGGTATGCAGTACTGGGAGGACGACTGCAATAAGCCCATCATTCAGAATTAGAACAGACCTTCTTTGAAATAGGCAGTTTAATACACAACGTAATCTGTTTACAGTTTTTTTCTCTCATTCCAAATTCTTTCTGAACTGTCTGTACTGCATGATGGAACCTCTCACTCCAGCCATCTCGCTCTCTCTTTTTCTCTCTCTCCTCCACATCCTCCCTGCCGGAGCTCATAGCTTCATCACCAGCCTTCAAACTGTTTGCTATGTTTACGTCTGTCTGCTTGTTATAAAATGTCCCATTTAAACGCAAACAGTGATTATCTAATTGTATTTCATGTTAGTTTGTTCAATTAAAACAACACAGCACACCTCAAAAACAACTGCTTATTAACATGACCAGAGATTTCACTGGTATTAAACGGTAGTTCACGGCACGCACATCTTCCAAAAGATGGTGGTTGCTGATCGGATTGGTATGTGATATGATTTGTCGTATGATTTATGAACTGGAACAGTTTATACAGTTTATACAGACATAAAACATGCCGCTTGCACTGGACAAACAATAAATCACTTATCATTCACAGACTTTAAAATAAAAACCACAAAAATACCTGGGGACAGTGAATTTTGAATTCAAGCAAAATCAAAACCTGATAAAAGTGCAGAAAACAATAAGTTGTTCAAAAGAAAATACGGTGATTCAGAAGTTAGTTTTGATAAAAATGTGCACTTAAATACAAGTAAAGTTAATAATATAATCAGTGGCATGCCATTAGGTTTCAATCAGGACCTTCAATAGACATCAACTGATGTGCAGGACATGTGTATTGTCCTGCACAACATGTGTGATCAATACACATGTTGTGCAAAAACTATGCACCACACCAAGCCACAGGCGCCCAAATAATGCTTCAAATAGACAAATTGTAATTACATCAATAAATGTAAATGTAGCTAATGACTTATGTGGCAGAACCAATATATAGATATAGTTTTCACATTCTGAAGTGGTTTAACTTCTGCCTTTTCCATACAGGTAGACTATATGATAGTAAAATATTCATGATCTTGTTTTGGTTCACCCAATGAGCCACTGATGATTTTCATCATAGTACTGAACTACTTTTCCCCCTGGTTATAATCACAGCAGATTTTTCATTTTTAATTCTGTCAATTAATTGTGATACTTGGATGTTCAAATAAAATTATATTTTCACCTTTTAGGTATAGGTCTGAATGATGGCCAGTGGCATAGTGTCCATTTAAATGCACTGGACAACTATGCCATGCTGACGGTAGATGGAGATGAAGCATCCACTGTTAGGACTGCTATTCCTGGCCAGATCAAGACAGGAGGAACCTACTACTTTGGAGGTGATTGATACCGTACCTCATTACTTTTACCACCAGCACCAAAAAAAAAAAGATGATGATTTACTTTCCAGTATGTTCTCCTAAGAGTCACTTCTATGTACACAGTTTAAATGTTAAAGGAAAGTAAAGTTATAGAAATGGTTCAGATATGGTTTTCTGCTTTGGGTCTTTTGTTTTTGACTTTAGCATGTCAAAGTGATTAGTTGAAACAACAGAAACAAAAACACAGTGACAGTGACCACAGCTAAAAAAACTTTCAGGTTCAGTTAGAAGCCAAAAATGAGTATTTTATATATTTTGGTATCTGAATGAGTCAATCCCTCTCCTAACATGGGAGTATATTTAAATGTATATGCTTCATATAATTCTTAAGGATACTTCAGTGTTTTAAGATATTATTATTTTCCCCCGACCTGTCAGTGGTGGGTACATTGTAGAAAATGTTTTGCAAGTGAAAGCTGTTTTTGATTCTGCTGAAAGCTCAGCAGGTTTGGACCCACACTCTTATAATAGTGCTACTCTTTCAAGACCGATAGGGATGTTCTGAATGAGATATTTTGGTGGGTTGCTTTCAGCTCTATCTTGCATATTTCTACTCAAAGATTCACACAGCTGTTTGTTGGTTAATATGTTTTCTATTTCAAAATTTACAAAGTTTACTAATGATGGTGTTTCTCCTTTTTTCACCATCTTCAGGCTATTTCCCACACACTAGCATTTGGTCACAACAGCGCTCTTTCCAGGGCTGCATTCAGATGATCCACATAGATGACCACCTGGTGGACTTGCGGGGTGTGGAGGAGGGTGATATTGGAACCTTCGAAAATGTTAGCCTGGATATGTGTGCAATTATAGACAGGTATATTTCAGAGAAATACTGTAAAAAAAAAATTAGGCTTAAAACTAAAGCCTCCCACTGTGGTTAGAGCGCTGTGATTCACATTATTTTTCTACTGCCATGTGTGAGGACAGGTGTGTTCCCAACCACTGTGAGCATGGAGGGAAATGCTCCCAGACATGGGATACATTCAGCTGCAATTGCAGTGGTACTGGCTACTCTGGAGCAACATGCCATACACGTAAGTTCACTCATAGATCACCTAGAGCTGCATGTCAAGTATTGAGTGAATTGTAGCTAGTCAATCAAAAGGTTAAATCTGCCTGGGATCTGAACATGTCTCATGAGAAGGTTGACCTGCAGCTTCGCTTTATAAAATGTGTGGTGATCTTCTTTTCTATTCTGTTTGTTGCTTCTGCTCTCTAGCGCTGTATCAGCAGTCCTGTGAGGAGTACAAGCATCAGGGGAAGAGCTCAGGCAACTTCTGGATTGACCCTGATGGTAGTGGCTCTCTACCCCCCTTCAGAGTACACTGTGACATGACAGGTGAGATGTTTAAGCTAGAATAATCAGATTTAGTACAGAGTTAGTATAATCAGAAGTTAATACTCTCATATAACTTGTTTAGCTGTGCACATTGTAACAAGCTTCCCTCTTCATTTTAGTGCCCATTTAGTCCTTTGTCTCAACATAATGTGTTTCTATGTATGTTTGTAAAGCAATGATAGATTTTTTTTTCATTTTTTCTTTTTTTTGTTTCTTAAATCTGTTATATCTTTGGCTTCTTTTCCAGATGAGTTATACATAAAAATAATTGAGCTTTTTATGGAATCTTTTAGACACAGTGGTTTGGACCACTTTAAGGAACAACATGTCTCCTCAGACATCAGTCTCTGCTGCAGATGAGGATGGAAAAGCAGTACTTCTGATTACTTACAATGTCACTGATGAGCAGGTATGTAATGGTTGCTAAAATGTAAATGACTCTTTAAGCTTCTCTTACTTTAAGTAATCTCACTATATTGTCTGTTAATAACTGGTGAAGTTTTATCAACATAGGTTATTGTATTTGTGTTTTATTAATACACTTAAAATGGGATCGGTAATGGGACAGTTACTTTGAAAAACTAACTTTAATCAGATTATTGATTACTCCTTGAAAAAGTAACTTAGATTACACACTTGTTGATTTGGAAAGTAACTAAGTTACATTAAAAGTATCGTTTTTAGTTCCTTTCAGCAGCTGCTAAAGACAACAACACTCTATGACCTGTGAAAATGACATTGATCTTTGCCAATACTTAATTGCAAGTTATTTTATCATGGTAACATCAACAATGTGTCTCCGCTTATAAGGATGAACTGAGAGGGAGATTGTTTAATGGTTACAACAGTCCAAAAAAAAAAACTTTAATTTGGTAATTTGTGTGTGTTTTGTATGTTCCAATGTTGTCTGGAAGACAATAAATAGGATTTTATTCCCCCCCACTGTAAGCCCTTGTGCTCCACCGTCCAGGTCGTGCGTTACGGCCCTGTGTTTGGTGTCAGAGTGCAGCTCACAGAGCTCCTCCTGCCGCTCCACAACTCAGATGGCTCCTGCACAAATTTGTGACACTTATCTTAATATTAAGAATTATGATGTTTAATTGCAGAACTTTACAGACTTATTCATTCATGGCTGTTTTCACGTTTATTGCACTGTTCATATTAGTCTCGATGTTTACAGTTTTCTGGAGCGCAGCGCTCCAGTTTTCTACGCGTCCAGTTTTCCTCAAGACACGTAGAGGAAGCTTGACGTAATTCACAGGTGATATATTACCTGGACATTAACAAAGATACAACGGGACGGATCGTTCAGGAAATGATGAACAGGGACAGTCTGACTAAAACTAATTGGATGTCAGACAAATTCTGGGGTTTGTGTCTGCTTATTTCCAAGCCCAAAAACCGCAAACCACATCTCATTAAATTTGCAAGCGACTTTAAGATTGTAAGTCTGATTGCTTACAATAATCGGACTTGACGAGTGGAGCTCAAAATAGTTCCCGTTTTTCCAACAACAAAATGTGCATCTCTCTCTTCCCTCCATTGTTTATGCTTTTGTTGCTGCTGATACTGTTGCATAGAAATGGTGGTTAGTCCCCAAGATGTATAGAGGAAATAAAATTGTGTTCTTTAACTGAAAATAAACCAATTTTTATTTGTAACAGGAATCATTCAAAATTATGATTGGACATCAATATGTGAACATTGTGAATATTTAATGGGAGTGTGCATTTTCCATATTTAATATTATTCCATATTTCATACATATTGTTCTATTTATTTATAACTTAAATCATCAACTGTGCCTTTGTGTGTCAGGTACTGTCAGTCACCAGCAGAGCAGAAAGGTGTGAACAGTATGTAGCTTACACCTGCCGAATGTCTCGTCTGCTGACTGGTCCAGGTAAAGTATTCATCATCATATTCTCATTGTTTTAGGAGGTGTTTGTGTGATTTTCAGTGCTGCTTAATCACATGATTACCTTTAGCATGGTTCAAGAAATATGAACAAGCATTTCTTACAACATTGAAATAATCTGAAGAGATTCCTCAGATTCTTTCAGGGCCCTTTGAGCCTTAACTCCTTGAAACTGAGATCAGCTGCAGAGATTTGTTGCACATTATCTAACAGTGTATCCTTATCATACTTTGTATTCTTTGCATAAGTTTGTTATAGTTGATCTTGTGTCCATGGAGAACAGTCAACTCGTGCTCAATGAACAGTCTGTCATCCATCACTTCCAAAGACTTCACAGGTTGAAAGACATCAACTGCTCAGGTTGGCAAATATAGGGAAAAATTTGCACAAAAAAATGAGCAAGAAACATTTTGTGACCAAAGTTCTTAAAGAGTTCAACAGATTACTTAACAGAAGTTAGATCATGAAAAAATTTTTTCACTTGAATCAAAACTCAAGTTATATTGTTTGGACAAAAGAACATTACTGTAAACTTGATCCATTTTTCAGTCCCCTTCCCCTCTTTTATCAATCTTCTATTAGGAATCTTGGTGTCATTTTTGACAATTGTTAGAAATTGGATTAGCAGGCAAGCTCTGTTGTGAATTAAGCCTTTTTCATCTGTGCCTTCTAGCAAAGCTTAAATTAAGCTTCTGCATCAAAGACTTTGAGTAACTCATCCACACCTTCAATACTATAACTCATTTTAGAAAAATATGCTCCAATCTTCTTTAAAGAATTTCCAAATGATTTAAAAAGCCACAGCTAGACTTTTAGAAATGAGAGTAATAACACCAGCATTAGCTGGCGGTTTCTTATTGGATCCATTTTGAAATATTTTTATTGGTTTTTAAAGCTGTAAATGGCTTCTCCCAGACTTTTCTCCAGAGCCTTCTTTACAACCATTCCATTTCTAGAACATTTTGGTCAAATAAGAAACACTCCTATGTATTCCCTGAACCAGACTGAATAGCAGAGGAGAAGGGGCATTTGATGCCACCTAATTTGTGGAATAACTTATCATTCAACATCAGATCCGTTCATAGTCTAGAATATTTAAAATCACTCCCTGAACCTCATTTTTATTCTTTATCATTTACGTAAGACCTGTCATCCTAATCCAACTATCCAGTCTGTTTAATTTATTGTGTTTTATTCTTTTTGTATTTGTTTTTATCTATGGTTTTTTCTAAAACAGCACTTTGATGCAGTTTGTAGTTGTTTTTAAAGTTCTTTATAAATAAATTGACACTGGCATTAACAAAGTCCTATTTTAAATAAAATTGAAGTAAACTTTATAAACCTTGTTGGATTGACTCCTAGATGGCACTCCATTTACCTGGTGGCTAGGAAGAGATAATAAGAGGCATTTCTACTGGGGCGGGTCAGGACCTGGGATACAGAAGTGTGCCTGCGGTATTGAAAACAACTGTTCTGATCCCAAACACTACTGTAACTGTGACGCTGACCTGCGAGCCTGGTAAGTAGAGCAACAAAACAACTTCATGTATGTGCTGCATTTGTTGTTTATCAGGCCTGACCATGAAGGCACTGTAAATGCCTATTGTAAGATTTCTTATTCTTGTTTTTCCAACAAAGTATGCAGCTTTTTGGAAGCTGCATACTTTAACAAAGTTAACATACTAAGTAACAAACTAAATAACAAAGGTGGTGCTGTTTGGTAAATGTAAATGACCACAAAAACCAGGAACACTTCCACTCTGGGTGAATTAGTTAATCAGAGATTCTGAAAGTGTAGACTGTAAGCTTTCCACAAACACATGGAAATAAAAAAGAAGTTGTTCTTTACTCCCAAGTGTTGTGTGCATTAATAACATTCATGCCTATTGGTAATTAGATAAATAAATAAAAGAAAAATAGACTTGAGTTGCTTTGGCAGAAACAATTTTTTTCTGCACCATTAAATAAAAAAACATTCACTCTATCAATTGTTTATTTCTTGTTGTATTTAATGAATTTAATTTAATCATTTCAATTAAATAAAAGTAACGACTGTGAGCAGAGCATTATAAGCAAGCAAAGTTATAAAAAACAAACTGAGTCTCACTAACTGAGACTTGAGTCCAACCTTTCACAGTATAGAACTGTTCAGAAGAATCAAATCGCAAGTGAAACCCATATCAAAACTCTTTTGGCTTCCTTCTATCACATAAGTAGTTTTAAGCTATTAATCTATTATTATTTTAACACAATCCTTTGATAAGCCAGCTGTACACTGAAGTCACAGCAAGTATCTTGCAAACCAAGAGGGGGCGCCTGCGGACCATTAGTAGTTTGGGGATCACAGTTAGAGATGCAGGCTTCACAATTACTCTGACTATGTAATCAAAGCATAGTCTTGATGCATTGAAGGTCAATTGTTATCAAAATCTTTTTCATACATCAAAGTATGTGGGCATTTCTGACCATATGCCATAAACATCTAAATCAGGGGTGGGCAACTCCAGGCCTGGAGGGCCGGCCTCCTGCAACTTTTAGATAAGTCTCCACTTCAAGACACCTGAGTCAAATAATGAAGTCATTAGCAGGACTCTGGAGAATTTCCCTGCACTTAGGAAGTGATTCAGCTATTTGATTCAGCTGTGTTGGACCAGGGAGACATCTAAGAGTTGGAGGACACCGGCCCTCAAGGCCTGGAATTGCCCACCCTGATCTAAGTGGAATAACTTTCACACACAAGCTTCCAGGTGTATCAAAATTTGTTTGTGTCACAAGAAACCAGAACTAGTCACATACACATGATCAATTGGTGACATCACCTTAGCCCACCCTCTCAACAGTAGTACCAGAAACCAGTAGTCACCTGTTTTCCTACTGATTTTCTTACTTTTACTCTTTAATTCATACAGATATAAACCTGTGTTTAATGAAATAGAACAACATAATTTTCTCAACGCTGCTGGCTGGAACATGTGGGCATGGCATAGTGTCTAATTCCAGTTCCTTGCTGTTCACAAACAGTTTGCTCGAAATCAGATGTGCATCATCCGATTTGCACCCGACAGCCTGATAGAGGAAATAGTTTGGGCCAAGTGAGATAATTTTCTGTGTTCAGTCATATTTGACACAATTTTATGCCTATTATGTTTTGAAAAAATTGAATGGGACAGAAACAGGGCTTTAAAGCAGCATCTTTTGCTGCTTTAAAGCCCTGAGACTCGCTGGCTGCACTGTCTCCCCCCTGAAGCCAGGGCTGACTCACACACACACACACACACACACACACACACACACACACACACACACACACACACACACACACACACACACACACCCACACCCACACACACACACACACACCCCTACACACACACACACACACACAAACACACACACACACACACACACACACACACACACACACACGCATGCACACACAAGTGTTCCTCTGCAATTACTGCTTTCTGGTACTACTGTTGAGTTTTTTGTTTTGTTTTTTCTTTTTCCGTTTTGGGTGTTATTTTGCCTAAAATTATGTTTCTTCCTGATGTGCTTTTGTGTGATAGGATGGAAGATGCAGGTTTGTTGGTGTATAAAGACCATTTGCCAGTCAATACAGTTGTGGTCGGTGATGCAAGCAGATCCGGATCTGAGGCCAAGCTGACTGTTGGGCCTCTTAAATGCCAGGGAGATAGTAAGTGTTCTTATGACGTATTCTAAGTCCTGACACTTTATCTTAGACTCCATTCACACCAGATTAAGACCACATGGCTGCAATGATTCTTGTTACAGTTTGAATGCAAACATAGCGCCACTCCTCCCCTGGATAGAAACTGAAAAAGAATACAACTTTCTTTTCTTCTGTTCCAAATTGTCAACCTGTGCGTTGCTCCAATTTACACACCACTTCATATTTTTACTCACATTTGGCTAGTGGTGGATTTTCACCCCTGGTCAAATGCAATCCAAACCAATGCGACCATTTGTGAAAAAGTAACAACAAAACCCAAAGCTGATCACTGGTAGAATTAAGATTACTATCTTCGCTGAAAACATTACATTTTAAATTTCATTATGGTCTCTTTCTTGCACAATGACAATAAAATGAATTTTGATTCTGATTGTGATCAACCTGCTTGCAGAATTTGAAAAAGATCACATCATGCTACAGACCTAAAGGAATGTGTCTGCTCCGTTTAGCCTCCCAGCAATTAATCAGTGTATCTCAGATCTGAGCCCTGTGCAAACCACTTTCAACATTATGTGCAGGGAGTCTATGTGGGGGTTTTTTATATTATTTTTCCTTGAGTGTTTTTTTGTCCTTGCTGTTGGTCGGTCAAAGCAGTGCCAAAAGTATTACAGTAAATTCCTTGCAGCTCTGCCCACCCTGCACACCCTGTGTGGGCTTGATGAGCATTTACCTGCTGGCATGTGACCAGCAGGTATATGACCAAGCCTTGCAGGTTTCACATGAGTCACCACTTCACCAAACCGGTTTATTCCATGAAATCCCAAAAATTATACCACCATTTTAAGACTTATTAGAACTTCTAAGATGAATTCTGGATGCATGTTAGAAGTCCTGTTCAATAACCAGCATAGACCATTAATGTTCTGGCTGATTTTAAATAATGGGCTGTGTTCTTTGTCTGCTCTGAAGGGCCAAACAGATTTCTCAGCTAAATGCAAACAGGCTTTATTTTATTTTAAAAAATTTATGAAGACGTGAGTCATAGTTTTATTACAATGCTGGTGATAACGACACATCACTGACATGTTTCTTGACAGTTCTTTACCTCTTGTTTTCAATTGATTAGAAACACAGTGACTCTTAACTGTTTGAGTTTTATACCTCTTATAATGTGCTAAAATCTACTGATCAACTTGTTGTTCAAAAAATGAGGCAAAAAAACCTCAGAAGAGCTCCTATGTCAAACTGATTTCTATCTTGGAAGTTTTAAATAAATATTTATATCTCACTTTTAGTCTTTGGGTTATAATGCAGCAAAAGAATCACATAGGGTCTGATTGCATTTGTGTCTTATTGTTCTTGTTCCTCAAGTTTATTTGATGGAATCAATTTAAGTGTTAGAGTTTATACTGTTTTTGTAAGGTATTGTGCATGTTTCCACCTATATGCAAAAAAATTAGTTTAAATGATTGGTGTTTATATTAGTGGAAAGTATAATGTTTCCAGTATTTTTAATACTTTTTCCTTTTTGCTGTAATTCTAGGAAATTTCTGGAATGCAGCTTCCTTTAACAGCCCCGCCTCTTCACTTCACTTCAAGTCCTTTCAGACTGAATCCAGTACTGATATCTCATTTTACTTTAAGACATCTTCCAATTATGGAGTCCTACTGGAGAACCTGGGAGCCAACAACCTCCTTCACATTGAAATCCGAGGTGTGTATGTATATGTAATACCACAACAGTACCATGAAGCAGTATATATGACACAAATCATACTTCTTTGGTGTTGTAAAAAAGTGCATTATGAAATAGAATTTTTCCCAAGAGCATCATTTGTATTTCTGGAGTTATGATTGCCATGACACACTGTCAGCCATGCACTACCTAAAAGGCATGTCGCTTTTTATCACTATTGTCGTTTTACTGAAACTTATTGTGATAAAACTTAAGGTTCATGTCCCCCACTGTAGAGTGAGAGTACAGTGCCCTTTCTTTTAGCTCTTCGTGTAACTTGTTCTGTAATTTTATACTATGAATCGAAGTACAAAAGCTCTTTTTGCTCAATGAATGTTTGAGTAACCCGTTAAGTTATATCCTGCTTCTCTTTCAATAAAATTTTCTCTATGTGCTCAGGTAACAGTTTATTTGATCCCTTAAAATGAGCTATTTTAAATTACACCTGATCATCAAATTTGCATTATTGCATTGATCATTTCTTCTATTAAATAACTTATGACTAGTGAGTAGAGTATGTTTGTCTATGAATTTTTTCTAGTTTCTTCTTAAAAAGGTTTTTCAAGATTTTTAGAGAACTGAGGAAGAAGAGAGGCAGGCCTGTAATTTTTGTAATTTTATTGCCAGTTTTATACATTGGTGTAATCTTTGCTATTTTCATGTTGTTGGAAAATTGTCTTGTTTAGAATGATAAATTACAAATGTAGGTTAATGGTTTAGAGATGCCCTCAATTGCCCTTTTAATTGTTTTCATGTCTCAATCATCACAGTCAGTGGATGCTTTAATTTTACATTTATTCATGATATCAATGATTCTTTCTTTTGTATGGGGTTAAGACACATTGCATTACTCTCAATATCATTTCAATGAGTTGCTGTTTTTATTGTAGGTATTTTTTCTGGTAAGTGAGGTCCTATATTCACAAAATAACCATTGAATATATTTACTTTCTTCATATTGGCAATATTCTGGTCATTATCTAGTAATTACTACTCTTAGAAGTTTTTCTGATAACTATTAAAAATGTTCCATGTCACTTTAGTAATAATGATAATTATTATGAATTCATAATAATATTACATTAGTTAATTTATTTTCATATTTCTTATTCAGTAGTTCTGTGTTTTATAAAGTTTTTCTTTTTACATGCATTTTGATGATTACCTTTACACCCTAGACTTATGTTGTTTGAGAAATCTTGAATTGGTTAATCAACTGTTAGTTGTGCATATTTTGAACTCGCTTTGACATAAGACTATTTATTTTAAAAATCTGAGCTGCCAGATTGAAGATGTTATGTTAATGTTGTTTTTCACAGAAGGCTCAATGGTCCTGTTATCTTTTGATTTTGGAAAAAATCGTGTTGAGCTCACTGTTCAAACACCAAAGCCTCTAAATGATGACCAGTGGCATCGTGTGGAGGCAGAGAAGAACACCAAAGAAGTAGTACTACAAATTGATGGTCATTACAGAGAGGTCAAAGCGACCCCCCCACTGGGACACGCAGAACTGGAGTTCTACAGTGATGTATATATTGGTAAGTTACATTTTTATATCACAACAATTCTACTGTATTGCAGTCCTGGAGGACTGAATTGATCTGAGACTGTAGCTGTTGAACACAGAGGAGAGAAGGTCAAAGGGTATGAAGTTATGAAATGAGCAAATTTGCTGCCATTTTACTAATTAAGCTCTAAGAATATCTATTTAACCTCTAGAACAACTTGGCTGCAGACTAATTTATAGATCAAAAAAGGTCAAACTGTTTGATGTTAGCACCTCTAGATCTAGAATTATAAGACTGAGACATCAAGGCAATGAAAACTTAGTAGCTACTGGTTGGGGCCTCCAGACATTCAGGGCCCCCTAGAAATGGTTTAATTGTAACACAGACCATATATCTAAGCTTGTAGCATCATTTATAGAGAATGACAATGTTATTACATTTTATTTAATGCATTCAACTGAGAAAAAAATTGTACATGTAGTATTTAATTAGGAAGTTTACTCTGTAAAAGTTTAAAGAATCATCTTGATAGTTTGTTACAATATGGTGGGTTAGCTCGGGTCTCAGATCAACTCAGACATCCAGGACTGTCAGCAACAGAAACACCAACTTTATACCTGTTGGTGAAAATATAGACTATATTTGCGTTGCATTTCCCCACATAATGACAATAATTAATTCTTGGTTAATACGGGTTGTTGTAGTGTTTAAAGATCTAGTTCAATGTGCCCTTTCTTAACTTTGAGCTCCTGCCCCTCCGAAGGTCTCTGCACTGCCCTGCTCATATTTCAGTTTGTAGTATGAAGCTATACACAGAGTATACACCATTACTTTTACTATTCTAGCAGTTAACTTTGGAGAAGTTAGCAAGTACAAAATATTGAAAGTACCTTTTGGGGATACCTTCCTGATGGCCTGGTTTATGATCATCAAATTGGACACAAGCTTAAATATAATATTTAAGCATGCGTCGGTGACAGCCCATTGCACACAATCAAGAAAGTTCAGTTCGATTTCTTAAATGGATGTCGGTTACCAAAGGGTGTATCAAATACCCTGAAACCACAGAAGGACGTCTAAGCATGGTGGCCTTATGGATCCAAGACAAAGGGTCATAGAACGCAGTGGAAGATGTCAGACATGTGCAGGCAACATCATAGCAGCTTTTGTCCAAGTCAAACTAATATGTTTTATCTGTGATGTCATCAGGTGCTTTGAGTGGCCAAAGAGGCTTCCTGGGCTGCATGAGGTCTCTGAAAATAAATGGGATCTTCTTCGATCTGGAAGAAAGGGCAAAGGTGACTCCAGGAGTGAAGCCAGGCTGTCAGGGTCACTGTAGCACCTACAAAATGCACTGCAGGAACGGAGGGAAGTGTGTGGAGCAATACAACGGATACTCATGTGACTGCTCTCTCAGTGCATATGATGGACCCTTCTGCACTGATGGTACCATCTTTCACATTTTAATATACTGGATTATATCTAATGAATTTGTATATTTAATTCTCCCTTTTTTGGTTACCTCTTCTCTGTGTGGTGCATGTCAGATGTAGGAGGGTATTTTGAGGCAGGAACCATGGTGCGCTATGACTTTCTGTCGGATCATGGTGGATTGTTGCTAGGCGACCCAAGGAGCTTTTCAAACCTTGCCTATTTAGGGGAAACCAACCTCACCCAGGAGGAGCTGGTCTTCAGTTTCAGCACATACAGTGCTCCAAGCATTCTCGTGTACATTAGTTCAAGGACCCAGGACTACATGGCAGTGGTGCTGCGACACAATGGTGGGCTTGTCAACACATCTTTTATTTGCCAATAAAAACTTTGTCTGTTTACATAAAACGTGTCTACTTGTGTGCAGGCTCTCTTCAGGTCCGGTACAGTCTTGGTGGGCTGGTAGAACCTTACACCATAGATATTGACCATCGCAACATGGCCAATGGTCAGCCGCACTCTGTCAACATAACAAGGAACCTGAGGGAGATTCGACTGCAGGTTGGGGCACTCATCCAGCTGGGAGGGTTTAACATTGCTAAACTTGATCAATCATAGTGAAAATATGCCAGAAATGCTAGTAGGTTGAAGATGGATTCTTGACTTGTGCTTTATAACCAAATCTTCAACAAAAAGTAATCCCTTATAATTAGATTATGAGTAAGACTACAGGTAGCTCTGGAATAAATGAACATCATGGCCAACAGCCAGATTATTTGATCTTATTTGACCTTAAGAGCTTTGTTCAAAAGCCCAGTTTACCAGTAGACCAACCTTTTTTTTTTTCAAAGGTTTTATTGGCTCCAGTGGCCTTTATTTGATTGTGAATTCACAGGAAAGTGGGTAATGAGAGAAGGGGAAGACATGTGGCAAAGGTCGCTAGGTCAGGAATTAAAGCGACAGCCGTGTGTCGAGGACTGAGGCCTCCATTTGTGGGTTGTGTTTAACCCACCATAGCACCCCCAGAAGACCAACCACTTTAAATTAAGTTCTTATTTCTACTAGGAATAGTGACCAAAACTATAAAACAAAAGTCCTAACCCTATTAGTGTGTACTGATAGGGTTAGGATGCATGTGTATCAAAGCTGAGCATACGAATCAAACTGATTAGTGATATGATGTTATATTTTGTAACCCCCGCCCTCCAAAAAAAAACATCCAAATTATGAAACATAAAACAACAGGCATGGTGGTTGAGCCAGCAGCAGATCAGCAGACCCATAAGTCCTCAATGGTTCGAGTCTGTGTCTCTCTTACACCCCATTTTCTGTTGGTCTGTTGTGAAATAAAGGCCACAAGAGCTGAAAAAATCCATAAAAATTATGTAAAAAAAAAAGAATCAAATAAACTTCTTTTCTCTTTTTTCACCAGCTTGACCACTACACTGTGTCGACACACACCCTGCCCGAGTCTTCTGACACACAGTTCAGCTTGGTCAAAAGTATCTTTCTTGGAAAGGTTTATGGTAAGTTTTTTGGTGCTCCGTTAGGATGCACCAAAAAGGAGTGAGTTTGTACTGTTAAAATTGTCATTTGTGCAGCTTTCCTTCATAATATATTAGAAACTTTCTGATGGCGTGTTGATCAACCTTTCCTGATATAAATGAGAGATGATTTACAAATAGTTATCACATATAATTGATATGACCATATAAATCACCAATTTATATGAACGATTTTTATGGTCACCAATTTTTATCATCACTGATATAAATCACTGTGATGATATAAATCAAGGATGATTATCGTCATAAACATCGGAGCAGCCTTAAAATCGTACAAAATACTAACCAGTACATATATATATATATATATATATATATATATATATATATATATATATTTATATATATATATATATATATATATATAATTTTTTTTTTTAATAGGTTTTATATTTAAACACAAATTTGTTATAAGTGTAATCTACAAAACAATTTTGAAGACAATGAACCTTTCAGAAGTTCAAACTGTGTATTCCTTGTTAATACACCGTTTGTCTGACTTTGTGATGGTCTGAGAATATTAACGAGTCCTCCTTTCTTATTGTAGAAACGGGACAGATTGACCCCATCCTGATAGAGCGCTACAACAGCCCAGGCTTTGTTGGATGCTTATCCAGAGTTCAGCTGAATAATGTGGCACCGCTGAAAGCTGCACTTCGTTCAGGCATGACTGCTCCAGTCAGCATCCATGGAATCCTAGTCCAGTCCAACTGTGGAGCCTCACCCCTGACCATTCCCCCCATGACCCTTGCTAATGACTTCTGGCAAATAGAAACAGGTAGAATCCCACTTGAATAATCAGAGAAGGTAATGATAAAATGTCCTAGTTCAAATTGGTAACATATTTGTTTTATCTGCAGGTGGAGCAGTTTTTCCTTTCAAAGACGAAAAGATTGGAGGTGATCCTGCTCATCAGAATTTTGCAGTAATTGCAGGTAAATAACTTTTAATTTCATATGTATTTACAGCTAAAGTGACAATGGAGGCAGCCAGCTAAGTGAGAGGGTCTATCATTCTTTCTCTGCTGACAGTGACCAGTGCATCCGCTCTCCAACATTAACTCTCACCCTGAGTGGCACACAGCACAGACCCCACATGCCCACTGCCAAAGAGGAGTGACAAACATGGCACAGTCATTCTTAATGTTTTTCAATAAAATAAAAATGTGTAGAACAAATATTAAATTTCAACATTTCTGTCAATGACGATTTGCGTCAAGGCCTGTGACACGTTTCTTTGTTGTAAACAGACTGATGGGAATAGAGAAAAATAGCCGTACAATTCTTGGACTGAATCATTTGCATTCATTGCAAATGCAGACATCCAACCAGGATCACTCATGCCATTGGCAATTCACCTTTTTATGTGAAAGTTATAGCATTTCATTTGCTGTGGCAAGTGCACCATGTTTGCCTCTCGGCCACTGAACATATTCAAAGACTCAATTTTTTGGATAACATTTAAAGCCCCACCCTTTAATCCCATAGGGGGCACTGTAGAGCAGTTCGGCCACACTCACTTGCAATTCCACTGGAATCTGAAAACTTTAGTTGAGGGACAATTTTGAGTGAAGTTTGATGAGTTTTTAAATACGTTTAAGCCTCCAAAGAGCCCTGTAATTTGTTGAAAAAATAGTAAGAAAACCTGAGATTAAAATAGGCCTTCGCAGCACTTTGCTGATCAGGCCGAATAAAATAAAATATAGACAAAACATTGTATCCAAGCAGTGTAGTACCAGACATTAATTTGGCATGAACTGTCAGAAAAAACCTATCAAACAGAAACAAAAGACACAAATCACTGGACACAGTGGATGCAAAGAAAATTCCTTGTATGGAAAGTGATAACAGTAAATACTGAGACTATTAAACACATTATTAAGATAACAAAATCACACACAGAGCTTATAAAAACAGCTATTGTAATCTCAATTTTATATTTTGGCACCTTCTTAGCAACTAAATGTTATTTTATAACTGCTTGGTCACTTGACTAGGTATTATCTCCCTGGTCAACATGTTTGTTTCCGGAAGACCCTGGGAAACCCCAAGTCAGCAGCACAGATGGCTCATCTCAACTGGAAGGGAGTGAGAGGCGGCTGCATGCACTAATTAATTAGTGTAATTATTTGCTTATTACCGCCCTGTGCAACAAGACACACCCGGAACTACCAACTTAGTAACAAAAATAAGAAAATTAGTAAACAAATGGTACCAGTAAAAATAAAAGATGTTCCACTGCAAGATTTGAGAATGTTCATTATGATAATAAATATCCCTGACTGGCCGGCCTGTAAGTACACATGATGAAACACAATATCTTCTCCTCCTATATTTTCCTCAGTATTTTCAGTTCAGTATTTTCCTCCTAAGCGTACCTTTTGTTTCGTTTCTTTCTCAGGTATTATCTCCCTGGTCATCTTGACAGTCCTGTGCATCATGGTGTTTGTAATTCGCCACATGTTTCGTCACAAGGGCTCATACCACACTAATGAGGCCAAGGGAGCAGACTCAGCAAACTGTGCTGATGCAGCCATTATTGTCAATGACCCGGCCTTCACTGAAACTATTGATGAGAGCAAGAAGGAGTGGTTCATCTGAAGTTTGGATAGGCCTTGAAAACGTCACACATGGACATGGGTCAATTTTTTATTTAATTTTTTCCAAGCTTTGGGAGCATTTAGGAAGTGGAACCTGTGGAACTTTAAGCATGTATGAGCTGTTTTTCTTCTTTTTTAAACTTTGCAATAGACATTGCATTGTCCATTTCTCCTAAATGAACAATGCATTGAAGTAAAACCCTTCACAGGATTGTTCCATAAAATTATAGAATGAAATTGTCTTAGAACATATCAGTTTTGTTTTGTACCATTCTGAAATAAATTTTCTATTAAGTGTCAAGATATTTTCTATTAGCTTTATGTTTGCCTTATTTATATATTTATGTATTTTTTCTGTTCGTAGTTGATCTCCTAAATTTTGACACCTTGTAGCCATTATTATGCCACAAAACATTCATAATTGTAGCCAATATTTAAATTGTATTTGTTTTCACCATATTTTTAAAGATTTTTGGGCTGGGTTTTTATTGAACCCTGGATGTGAACGTTCTGGCTGGCCTGTAAGTACAGATGATGAAACACAGTAAAGCTGCATTTTACATAATAGACAGCATTGACTCTTCTAGTTGTTGAGGCCAATTAATCCAAACAGATTCTTATATTGAGGTATTTTTGTATTTTTCTTAAGTTTCCACACTACATTTACTTTTTAAGACACATGAAAACCCCTGACTGGACTGTTTTAAGTTGGTCAGATAGTTTTACGGAATTATTTTTAAAAGGACTCATATAGCATCAGTCTCTTGAAACCAGATATTTAATAAGTTATTGCAAAGGAATGTTTATTAGTTACTTGTTTAGCTCCACCTTAACGCCGGACATTCGATTGTATTTGATTGTAATGCATTTGTATTTATTTGTATTTTTGTGCAATAGTATGCTGTTTGACACTGACTTGCCCTATATCTTTTCTTTATGAGCCACTGTAGAACCACATAGTTTTCTTCATGTTACATGGATTAAAAAAAATCCAAAACATACTTGTAAATTTGGTTGACTGGTTTTCTTGAATGTTTAACTGTGTAGAAAAAACCCTGAGAAAGCACTGAGGAAACCCCTGGTTTAAGATGAAAACGGTCAAATTCAAAACTTTGTCCTTATAAGTAACGTTGGACTGTTCAATATGATCAGATGCACACAGCATGTTCGTTTCCTGATTTTCCACAAGTCTATTTACAGACATGTTTCTCTTTATTGCATGGCCATTTATCTAAATGTCTTTCATCATCTATCATGCTCTCTCCTCACTCCCTTATGTGTTTCTTTCTCTTTCTTTTGTTCATACTATATGCTGGATGTTGTACTGCATGCTGTGTCCTGAATGGACTGATATAAAACTTTTTTTTAACTTATTTGTTTTTTAGGTCGTTATAAGAGATTGGTAGTTTTGTGGTTTAGTTTAAGCACAATTATGACAGGACACAGTTTCTTTCATTGAGGTTCTGCAGCCTCTGTGGAGCAGATGTTGTTAGCAGTTGCAGATACTGTAAAGTGGGACATGGAAACATTTTCATATGTCTCATGTGCAAACGGGGGGTTGATTCTGTCAGTTTGTTACTCAACTTGTTGAAAGTGAGAATGGAATAAATGAGTTTCAAATTTCTCCTTTAGCTGTTCCATCACCCGGATTACATTGTCCAGAGTTCTGCCCTGTTGATGATGTCTACTGATGAAGGCTTATTAAAACCAAATAAATTATAACATTATTTAGGAGCAAAATAGAAATAGTTTACTGTTACAGCGCTGGTCCACTGCCATTCATCCTTAAAAGGATTCAAGATTAGTTGAACATGGTGGCCTAAAAATGTAATTTTCCTACTAACTTAGAAAAATGCTGTGATATGCCAAAGCTTATAATTTCTTCAAGAATTTTATTTCTTGTTATATTTGTACCTGTGTACCCATTTTTTCAGCTGCTGGGCTGATGATGCAGGTGTGTTTACTGTTTATTTTACCGAGCAAATAGGAAGGCTAACTTTCCCTGAGTTATGCCATATGTCACTGTTGACTGTAACTTAAAAAGAAAACAGTGAGGTGAATCTGGATCACTTCCCTCATGGAAGAAAGACTCAGTGGGAGAGAGTTGAACACAACGACTGAAGGAAAAAAGAAAAGGTTCAAACTTCAGAAATAACACTATAGTTATAATAGACTGAGTGATCTTGTTTCTATTGTCTTAGCCTGTTTTCCCCTTTTCACCTGTATGCATAACATCAGGTTAATATGTAAGCATATTACATATTGTAATTTCTGCAGTTATGAAAGCCTTAAATTCTCTGTTCTCTTCTGTCCTGGAATCAGCAGAACCCGGTTGAATCAGGATTATTAACTTGTCGCATACAGCCCAATACATCTTGTGATAAACTGCATGATGCTCTCTATACGTTATAAACTGGGCTACGTAAATGCATATTCGTGACTGAGTTTCACTTTTTTCAGCTAAGAAGCAGACAGTCATCCTTCTGTCCCCAAACTTGATCATCCTTTTCTATTCTTAAAATTTAATGCAAAACGCTGAGGTGTCTCGTCTCAATACACAATTCAACTTCATTCATTTCAGAACTACTTTATTGATCTCACAGGAAAATGGGATGTAACTCATTCAAGGCTCTTCAAAGAGTTATTGTAGAAGCTGAAATATGTGTTCAAAAGAAGCCTCTCGAATACATGCTATTATTGCATTACGGTCTGACGGAGAGGATGGTCAGGGTTGTCCAGAACTTTCTTGATTTTATGTAGAATCCTTTGCATCATCATCTTCAGAACAGAACCAGCCTTCTTTATTAGATTGCTGAGCCTTTCTATCTTCTTCTGCAACAACTCAAACCACCTTCAGAGTTTAAGATCTGATTATAGCAACTACACTGCATCACCTTGTCAAGTGTATACAGAGAAGTTTAAATAAACTGTTGGAATGTTTAAAGTCTTGCATTTACAATCTATAAAAGACATACTTCATGCTTTTTATACAAATGTCCTAAACATTTTCTACACAATTACATGCAATTTAGAAAATAATTGATTAAAAAAGGAACTTAATGTAAAACTTTTACTGGATTTAGAAGTACAAAAAAAAGGGGATAAAACAAGCCTTCACTTTACTTTTAGGATTTCTGCAGAGAAAATCCAAAATAAGACATAAAAACAAAATCCTGCTAAGCATCAGGTTTTATCAGGTGGCCAAAATAAGCAGTTACAGTCTTGAGCTTGTTGTTAAGGAAGTTCTGCTCCACTTCGACTTTCCCTCCTGGACCTGCCAAAGAAGCAACCTGCGATCAAGGAGACATGGATGTAAATATTGGAAATTTTTCAGCACATTCAAGCTGTTGCCACATGTCTGTGAAGCTCCTCCTCTACAGCTTTATTACTGGACCAGTGAAACTTTTATGTTATGTGCTACTGTTTTTTAAATTAATTGGTTTCTATTATTTGGTTCAAGCACAACAACAAATCCTGTTAAATGTTCAGTGTAGAAATTAAAAACGTGTAAAAAGTCTACATACTGAATTTAGATTGATTCAGTGCCAACAGTAAAGGTCCAAAGAAATGATTGATTCTCAGAGATAAAATCTATGGTCTGAAACTCATGGATCATAATTACTGATTTTCATTTTTATTGTGTGTAAATTCAGTATGTCTATTAATCCAGTGATTTCATAAACATATGTTACATCAAAAGCATTTCTAGAGTTTCCCGCTCAAGAAGATGTTGATTAATTCAGTAATAATTCATTATCAGCACATTTCAACACTTTGGCTCTCCTGTTACTGCATGAAGAATTCATTCTGTATTACATTGGTTGTAGCACAGCTACAAGGCTCCACTGGATATTATTTGTTCCTGACTGCTAAGATAATTCAATAATACCACTGTAGCGAACCCAGCTTCACTGTTTAACTGTGTGAAAGTTTCTGGTAAAATGGAATTAAAAAAGAAAAATGCTTTCAAACAGCACAATGTTGAATTTTATATTAAAATGTATGCAATACTTCTTTGTAAAAAGAAGGCTTATTTTATATTAAATTTTGTAATGCATTACATAAAAACACATAAGGAAAACATATACCTGATTCATATCTGCGTTGCGGGGCAGAAAATACACAATATTTTCTGTTATCTGTTTGGCTTGGCTGAAGATCCTGAAGGTGTCGCTGGTTAAGGATGAAAACAAATCTTTATCAATAGGAAGATTTAGTTCAGTTCTTTGACAATTTTCACTGACAGGAATGTCTATTGTGAATTCTGATGTTTGTTCATTTTATTATGGTTTTTTTAATGTAAAAACTGAACTGTCTTATTGTTGAAATGTGCTAAAATTCACTTCACTTAAAAATATTCTCTATATCAGTTTAATTGGACTGAAATTTACTTAATGTAATGAACAATAATAGAGGTTAGTCACAGCTTTTGGTACACTCACGCAAATGAACAAATACAACATTTTAACCGGCATCACTTTAAAGGATATCCATCAGGTTCCATCATGGTCTGAATGTCAAACACATCTGCATTCAAATAGTCCGGTCCGCCCCATGGTGGGGACAGGAAGACGACGTCTCCACGCAGAGTGGGCGCCAGCTGGAGGAAGTCTCCTTGTAGGAAGTCAATTCGGTCAACAACATTGTAGACCACAGAATTGTGCCGAGCCATGGCCAGCCGCTCTGCATCTATATCAATCGCCACAACTAGAAAAGCCACAGAGCATAATAATTAAAAGACAAAATAATCAATTAAAATGAAAAAAATAAATAAATAAATAAACTAAGCAC